AGACGTGGGTAATAAATAAAATACCACACTCGGTCTCATTACATACGAATTATACGAAACTCGTGACCTTCCTATGTTTATCAGATACCATAGGAAGGACACTCGTTTTGAATAATTCGTATGTAATGAGACCTCGTGTAGTATTCTCTATATACGTAGATACTAAGTCCTACGTAGGAGATATTAAGTCCTACGTACGAGATAGTGAGACCAAAATGTTTTTCACCGTGGCCCTAGTATGCTTTTGCAGTTTTGTTTGGTTGGTTGGATTTTTTTTAAACAATCAATCAATCAATCAAACAATTTATATTATATTTTATTCTATTTTTAATTTTTTTATTTGGGGTGAGGGTGGGGGTCTTTATAATCAACATGTGAGGATATGAACATAGGAAAACTCAAACTTTAATCTGCCTGGTAATTTTTCTAGGGCAGCATGATAATTAAATACCTGTTGGGTACTCCTTGTCCTGGAGAAATAAACTTAATCTTGCACTAAAATAGTTTGTAACAGTCAAAGTGAAGTAATACGTGCAGAACATGCGCGACTATGCAACATTTTGACATCTTCCACAATGCAACCAAGGACGCCACGCATGACTAGTCACACGTTTAACAAAGGGAAACGCTAAGGACATATTCATGCGAATCACGCCTACAGTAGAAAGTGAATCCCTGCGTCAGCATGGTTTTAAACCGCTTTGAGAAATATCCGTCTTGCTGAGTGTGGCGTAAAACTAAACTCACTCACTCACCCTTTTAGTTGTCACTCGACGACGATCTGAACGTTGAAAGGTCTTTACTGGCATTAGTTTGCTGGGTGTCCTCCCATTTGTGAGATCTCCCAGTTGTAAGACACATTAATTAATGGTTCAGTGCACACAGGTGGTGCTTCCCCATCCCTACGATGAAAGTGGGAACAGCCCTGTTGCTGAAGAGTACCCGCAGGAGGCATAGTTCATTGATGAGTTAATTAACACAGAAGACATTGTTCGTTGAAGAGCATTTATTGTTTTCATTAGATACTGAAATACTGAAAAAGATTATCGTGAACTGGTGATATATTCTACTTGTTGAAGGCCTGCCATAATGGTGATCGGAAAGAGCAGTCAAAGGTTAATAAATAATGGATTAATTATAGTGACAACAGTTATTGCTAGATTTTTCAAACACGTAAATCTGAGTAGGTAAATTAATTTCTCTTTCAAATGATCACGAAGTTACCTACAGAAAGTGTTTATTTTTTAAAGCCATTTATCAGAGTAGGTTAATTATTGTATCTTTTAGAGTTTTATTAAGTTACCTCCACAAGATTCAGTTGAATAGCTAATCCATAATTAGCTGGGGTTAATCCATTCTATCAGATAGGGGTGTAAGGTGTGTTTTCTTTGCTAATTACCTACTCCACTGTCTCACAACTGGGAGTCTCACAACTGGGAGTTCTCACAAATGGGAGTAGACCGTTTGCTGACGTTATCAGGCCAATTAGCTGATAGTCGTTGGTTGGTAGACATCTCTTCCACAAGCCTTCAACGGCATACCAGCATTCCACAAGAAAACAAACGGTCGACTGCAAACAGTGATCACCCTTCGTCCTTACCCACTGTTCAGCTTGTGGGAGCACATGCAAAACAAATATAATTGTTTGAGCGGGGAATAAATTGGTAAGGGCCTTATTTATTGAAAAAGTGTTGTTCTCATTGTCTTTCAGTGATGTTCAGCTTATTGTTTTCTGAGACGAAGTCACTATTATTGAGACTAGCTGCATTAAGGTGCCTGATATTTGTCTTCTTTGTGAACACCTGGAAAGGTCACATAACGGTTTGTTAAAATTCTACATTCTCTGTTCCTGTTTTGTATTGACCTGTAAACGATAGGTCACTTTTGATGTGAAGGAAAAGTCAGTTATGTTTCAAAGCTTGAACGAAAACGTTTTACGTTGAGTTACGAAACAAGGGCTACAGTGTTCAAGTTTGTTGTTTAACGCTGAACCCAGTAATATTACAGCTATTTGGCACCGGCCTGTAAATTATCGTGTCTCGACCAGACAATCCACTGATCAAAAGCATGAGGATCGATCTACGCAATCGTGTTAACCAAGTCAGCGAGCCTGACCATCCGATCCTGTTATGTGCCTCTTACGGCAAGTTTGAGTTGCTGAGGACCATTTCTAAGCCGGATCTTCACTAGTCCCTAATAAACTAATATTGAAGGTCCTTGCAGTCAATATGACGGCCTTGTAAAGTAAAAACAATGTTGTTTACAGTACTAAAAGACTTAATAACTCATTTACGTAAACTTTAGTCTCAGATGGGTTATCAAAATGGAATTTTGTGCAATTGTGAAAACATTAAGTTTTCATTTTCCACAACAATTGTCACGATTTCAGGTATAGACAAATCTGTAAACAATGTAATTTACCCCCGGAAATGTACATGAATTCTACAGTGCCCCTCATATCAATACCTCACGGAGACGCGCCCCTCTGATTGGTTGAAATTTCGTTCGCGGGAGAGAATTGTGCAGTGTTGTCAAAAAGTCGATTTAAGTTAATTAAGGGTCAAAATGACTAGTTTTAATAACGGGGTTTGATTTATAACGATGCCATTAAATGATTCATGCATTAGTACCCCCCTAAGTATATGTGATCTTTAAAGCAACTTTACGCCCATCTTGTACATCTGCGCGTACGAGACGCGCATTTCTGTGTTGCGCAAAGCCCTAGATGCGTATTAGTCGTACAGCCGTATGTTGAAGGTTGTCGACCTTCACTATCCTACAGTCAGTTTGAGTCAGAAACGGACCCGTGAATTGCAAATTTTATCATTGTACAAAATTGCCACATAAAGATAAATAGTACTAATACACAACAGCTTTCTTATATTAGATCAAACACAACTTTTAGATTACGTGACGTAGAGGTTTTGGTTAAGGAATCCCTTAACAAAATCACGACTGAAACTTGGCAAAACTGTGTCAACAAGGTAGCTTACGTCATTGAACAAGGTTACTGGTCTCGGGATGGCTTACAACAGGCAACTGTGGCACCAGTTGTCATCCCATTAAGTCGTGACTATGAAACTACGACAGACGAGGAACCGACAGGTCTCCCGGAATAGATTTTGAGATGTCCCCCGCCATGACTGGCTGTTCCGTTTCTGCGGTTTCACCCCGCCGCGACAGGTAACAACTTTTGCGTTTTCAATGATGATAGTTTCTTAAACAACAATTTTTTTGGTGGAGTCCGGAAAATTTTCAAATATAAGAAAGCTGTTGGGTATTAGTAAATGATAAACATGTGTACTATTTATATTTATGTGGCAATTCATCAGTCCGTTTCTGACTCAAACGGACTGTAGTCTGTAGACTACCACAGAAGACTTGAAGGAACAAATCCACAACGTACTTGGCGAACCAGCACCATATACCACAAAATACAAACTTGGTAATAAAACAGTTTATTCAATAAATATATCGCCCACATCCAAAACATAAAAAGGTTTGGATAAATAATATCTCAGGCAAATCTGCTGTGGGACAGACTGCCTGTCACTGACGCTCCTAAACTCAACGCTTCATGCCATAGTTACCTCCCCTTGAGATATTAACGACCGTGCACACTTATCAGTTAAAAATACATGGCATCAAATTCTACTTACAATTTATCGTACATGAAAGTAACATGGCAAACATATCGTGAAAAATACAAACTGACAAGAAAGTGTTTTATACACAAGGAAAATACTTGATGAAACCGACAATTCAAGAAACATCATCTCCTGTTCCAGGTTTAAGCTTGCCATCAGTAACACGAGTTACTCATAATAAAATCAAGCAAACTTTTGACACAGATAAACATACATAAAACAACGGTACAAATATCAACTCTGAAAAAGGAGACCCACAAACAAATAATCTTAAGCAAGAAAGTCAAACAAAAGGGATTGGTATTAAACTGGCCTTTAATCAATTGTACTAAAATCCAAGTTTAACCGACAGAGTAAAGCCGGGTTTCCATGTGGGTTTCCACGCGCAGTGCATGATACGGAATGCGTATACAACACTTTATACTAAAATAGTAATAGGGGTTTCCACGCACACGTAAAACGCGTGATAATCCCAATGTCACGTAGCTTCAAAATGGCAAGGCGATTTTGAATTTTGCTTTTACGCACCCAAGTGTTTTTCACATAACAGTACAATAAACATGCACTAATCACACGCATCACGCAATTGTGATCAGTAAGCAGGAAAGGAAGGACTTAATGCCTTTATACACGTACACGGAGGTCGGAAAAGTAGTGGATTCTGTACAATGGGGTTTCCTCACACCTTCAATGTCACGAATACATGTGATTGATTTCATTGTTCACTTGTAATACAAAGGGACATAACTCATGTTTTTACAAAATGGCTTATTTTGGTCTCAGGCAACCTTTTCACAGCACATCCATCTGACTGGATTTTGAACTGTTAAATTTAAACATTGAATTCCAGCAATATCATGGTGGGGACACCAGAAATGGGCTTCTTTGTATCAGGAAAACACTTTAACCTAGGCCACCCCTAGCCGTCCGACACTTAAACAAAATCACATCTGCTGAGTCATAATGTGAGTTCTAACTGTAACAAGATTTTTGACATTATTTATTCCAATTTTAACTGATAATTTGCTGCAGAGTTAGGACCTCTTGATACATACCCTCGATAACATCCATCAGTGTTAATCAAATCAAGCACTGAATGACTGCAGCTTGGGATCTATATATATCTGAGCACTGACTACCAAATTTTACATGATAAATCTGCAACTATCATCTAACAACCTTATATTTCAACAAGAATATAAAACAATGCACATGCAATGTAGCCTTGATATTGTAGCCCAGTTCAAAAGTGTCTTTGATGTGCCAAAAGCTATCTGACATTTAAAGGATCAAAACAGTTAAAACAGGAGTAATCAATGGTGCAGCCTCTCAAGTATAATCTACTTCATTTTAATTCAATTTTGTTACTTGCAACTATCATCTAACAACCTTATATTTCAACAAGAATATAAAACAATGCACATGAGCCTGCGTCAAAAGCTACTGAAAAGAAAACAGTTAAAACAGGATTTAACATGGTGCAGCCTCGCGTTGTTACTTGAGGAGAGCGTGAACCACGGCCTTGGCGTTGAGGTTGCGAAGGTCAGTGTAAGTCTGACCCGTGCCCACGAATACAATTGGCTGACCTGTCGTATAGGTCATAGATATTGCAGCACCAACCTGCAATTGGAAAAGAAAAAGATTGTGAAAAACTGGCTTCAAACATTATAGTGTGGAGCGATGGATCAAGCAATTGCTCCAGGGCAACACTGTTTGTTTTTGAAGTACAGAGAACAATGTTCCAGAGCCTAGATTTTCGAAGCTCTCTTATCGCTAAGATAGTCGTAAGTTAATGTTAATGTATGGCACTTAAGACTATCTTAGCGCTAAGAGAGCTTCGAAAATCTAGGCCCTGGTATATATGATGGCAGTTTGTAAATAATTGGATGACCAACACGAAAATCAGCAAACGATGCGATGCAACTGCGGTACCATGGCATGTGTTAATCAAGTCAGCAACTTCACCACACAATTCTTTCAGTTGAATCTGACAAGCTGTGTTGCCTGAAAACATTGGTCTGACAAGCATGTGTTGATTCTACCCCAGATGTTCATGGGATCTGACAAGCATGTGTTGTCAATGAAAGCTCTACGCCAGGTATCCATGGGAACAACAAGCATGGGTCTTCATGGAGAATGACAAACGTGGGCTGCTGAAGACCAATTCTACCCGCCATCCTCAACACATACAAACCATATTCCCAAAGTAAAGTGAGATCGTACCTTGTCATCAATGGTATCAAACTTGGTGAGGATGATACCGTCGATGAGTCTTGGGTTGGTCATGTTGGAGTGGTCGGCCAGGGCCTGGTTGAACTTGGTCAGCTGATCCACAGCCTCATTCCCAACCAGGGCCTCGCCCACGAACAGAACCAGATCCGGCTGGTTCACTTTGATTAGCTGAAACAGGACAGATACAATATAGTTGTCTTTCCTTCCATAGAAATAATTTTCTTTAAAATAAAAACAGAATTTTATCCTTACCTTGATTCTGCTTCAATCAGATATATGTTTTGGATATTTCCTGTTGAATGTTCAATAACTATTCCAATCGGCCTACCCAAGTCATTCAGTTTGTGTGTCTGACAATCACACAGCACAGTCGCTCATATGAAGATGTGCATCCATGTGTATATGTGGCTGCTTGTACTAGCCCAGACTGAAGCTGGTTTTATAGTGCTAGCTCACTGAGATACCATGCCACACTTAAGCATGAATACCCCACTCAGACACATTATACTGTCTCCGAGCCGACCACCATTAATGCAGAGCGCCAAACAGGGACCAACAATTATTTTAATGGGTTTTTTCGTATGACGCGGCCGGGGATGGAACCCACGACCTTCCGTTCTCTGGGCTACACCAAAGAGGTGACGCAAACGGAACAAAGTCCAGTTGGGTACTAAATCATGCTGGTTGTTTTGTTGATTGGTTGGTTTGTAGTTCAACCCCCGCACGCAACAATATTCCAGCTACATGGCGACATGCTATAAATAGTCAAATCTGGACCAGACAATCCAATGATCAACATTTTGAGCATCGTTCTACACAATTAGGATGCGACGACATATGTCAACCAAGTCAGCGAGACTGACCACCCAATCCCGTTAGTCGCCTCTTACAACAAGCATGGGTTACTGAAGATCAATTCTAACCTGGATATTCACGGGTGGAGATAAGGATGGGTTACTGAAGATCAATTCCATCCCGGATCTTCATGGGTAAGTAAACCATGTTGACAAGGTAAGTATAACACACTGTTTAATTATAAATATTACCAGGACACAGTCGAAACATATCTGTGAATGAAGCTAGCATAAGTGGTAAGCACAATTTAGACGAAGGTAAGATAAAACATGCATATATTCCCTGGTGAAGTACTTTCTCAAACTGTACTTACAATGAACGAGTTCCGTTTGATGCTGCAGTATTTCAGTATTTAAGTCTAACTCAAAGTTTGAAGTGAGGCAGGTGAGACTTTGTTTCTGACCATAAAACCCACGAACTTGCATGGAGCTTAGTACCCTGGCATAGCCAAGGGAGGCAACTGCTCACTACCAACATAGCACCCCAGGCGACTGGTAATTAAAAATCCTGTTAACCAAGAGCTTATTTTGTAAAAAGGTTTTTTTAGATGCAAGTGTTTCTTCACTTGTTAATATTCCAGGGTGTATGGTTATAGATACAAGTTTAAATAACATTGTATGTTATTTAAACAAACGTAAGCATGGTTCATAAGTCCCTGGTATTAGTGTAGATTAGACCAGCTCTGCTTGTGGCATTCAATGAGGTGAGGTGAAAAATTGGGTTTAACGACGTACTGGAGAATATTTCGCTCGTATGACGACGTGCATGCGTGTGTATGTGTATGTACGGCTGCTTGTACTAGCCCAGACTTAAGCTGATTTTATAGTGCTCGTCCACTGAGATACCATGCCGCAGTGAAGCATGAACACCCCACTCAGACACATTATACTGACTCCGAGCCGACCAGTCCTTGTTGTACCCATTAATGCCGAGTGCCAGGCAGGGACCAACAAGTACCATATTTTAACGTCTTTTGGTACGACGCGGTCGGGGATCGAACCCACGACCTTCCTCTCTCCAGGCGGACGCTCTAACCACTACACAACGGAGGTGGTTCCATTCAATGAGGTCTCACCTTTGCTAGAGCCCTCATGAGAGGCTCATTGTCCTGCATCCTGCCTGCGGTGTCAACCAGCACCACGTCAATACGGCTGTCACGGGCTGCAACCAACACACAACAATCTCAATACACAGTTAACACATTGCTTCAACAGGTGTGGCATTGTCAACATTCTATTGTGTATTTGTCTCAAAGCAGATTCGTTGCAACATATGTAATAAGTTTGTTTCCTGTTTAATTCTGCACTCAGCAATATTAAAGCTAAATAATAGAGCCGGGACCAAACAATCCAGTGATCAACAGCATGAGCATTGAAGTATGCAAGTGTGATACGATGATATGTGTCAACCAAGTCGCCTCTTGTGACCGGCCTGAGTTACTGAAGATCACATTCTAACCCAGATCTTCTAAGTGAGTGAGTGAGTGAGTTTAACGCCACACTCAGCAATATTTGTAATATATGGCGGCAGTCTGTAAATTCGAGTCTGGACCTTACAATCCAGTATACATCATGAACATCGATTTGCTTGGGTTGATGACATGTTCAACCAATAAACCAATCCATTATTAGCATTGCAAAGTCAACTGAAGACACCGGATCTTCACTGGCAGATGATATACAAATGAGCTTGTTGCATGTCCATTGAAAGACAGAAAAGGCAAAAAGTAAGGCAATATAAGTGACAAGGACATCAATATTTGCATCAATGCGGGTTATTTCACCATCCCTGATTAAAGCTCTGATAATAGTTAACATGCAATCCCTACTCGGAGAAATTCAACACTGACTCAGCCGATCAAGACCTACTGTTTGAGTGCCAGTTAATTAGGACATTAACATATTGAAATACCTTTTCGTGGGATATGTCCAAGGAACGAACTACCAGGAATAAAAATACAAGGAACAAACTACCTTTAGCTCTCCAGACAGACCATGGAGGTGGTTGTCATGGCAGAATTCAATGCCAGTACCCCAACACACATATACAGCAGTGAAGTTTTGAGGAATTAGTTACCATGGTTTATGGCCTCCATAGCAATGCCAGCCGCATCTTTGCCATATCCCTTCTCGTACAGTTGAACCATCTGTTGGCCGCTGTGCTGCTCTGGAGGATGGAGAGCGTTCAACTTCCGTGTGTGAGTGCGGAGCTGCTCCACTGCACCTGCACGGAATGTGTCGCAGGCAGCAATCAGGACCCGGAATCCATTCTCTACTAGCCAGAAACACACCTGCAATCAGGAAAGTGTGAGAATGATTAAATGATTCTCGACATTACTAAAACCAAGGTTTGGCCTGGTGGAACAGAAGGTGTGTGATAATACTCTAGCTGTATCACAAGAGTGAGTGAGTTTAGTTTTACTCCACACTCAGCAATATTCCAGCTATATGGTGACGGTCTGTAAATAATCGAGTCCGGACCTGACAATCCAGTGACCAACAGCATGAGCATCAATCTGCGTAATTGGGAACCGATGACATGTGTCAACCAAGCCAGTGAGTCTGACCACCCGATCCCATTAGTCGCCTCTTACGACAAGCATGGGTTACTGAAGATTCATTCTAACCCGGACCTTCACGGGTCTGTATCACTGAGTGTGAAATGATCTGTGGACTACATTTGCCTTCAAAGGAGAGAAACTCAAAACCAGGAATAGTCTATTAATTGTCAATACTGCACATAACAATGTATATCCTGTATCCAACAATATCTACTTGTTGGTATTTTACACCCATCTGTGGTAAAAGTTGCTTAAAACGGTAGGAGGAACAGCGCATAGATGCACTGCACATGCTACACTGTATACGTTGTTGTTAACTGACACGACTCACCTCAGAAAATTGATGTGCAAGGTGCAATGTTTTCTTTCCATGTGATTTGGTGTTATTTGCAATCAATGTTCCCTTTTGGAGACAAACAGACTGAGTCTTTGAACAGTATTTAGAAGTGTTACACATAGTGAGTGAGTGAGTTTAGTTTTACCCCACAATATCACGGCGGGCTTCACACATTGTACCCATGTTGGGAATGAACCGGGTCTTTGGTGATGAGCAAACGCTTTAACCATTAGGCTACCCAACCGCCCCTGTTACACATAGAGGTGAATTATGGAATTTATCTCTATTTTGAGGAACAGTACATTTCCAAGTATATTGCTAATCCTCAATCAGGTGAATGAAAACTAGGAAACAGACAGCTATGTAAGTAAATGTGAATCAACAACAGTGATAAGATAACAAGGGAAGCCAATAATTAGCACTGAACTGGAAGAGCGGATGGACAAATAGAAGCCAGGAATTATTAATCCAGGTATGAATGATGAGATAACAATATGGCATTTAACAAGGGAAATGACCACAAACAAACAGAAGCCAGGAATTAATCCAGGCCTAATTAGTGATAAACACAAGGACAAGTAAATTCTTTGAGTGGCATTTTAGAAGTTGGGAAGTACAATATAGAACAAACTTTATGGATAACAACTTCGATGCAGATTCTTGTACCGTTATTATGCTTGACAACGTACAAGAATCTGTATCGAAACGTCGCACTCACGAATAAAAAGAAGTTGTTATCCATAAAGTTTGTTCTATAAAGGACATGTAAGCCAACACTGATAACAAAAATTAATTCCCAATCGCTAGGCAGGTATATTCCCTTGTTGGACCTTACGAATGGTATCTACCTCTGCTAAAGTACCATCCTGTACCACCCTGTACCACCTGATCTGTTTCAGTTGACTTGACAAACACAAGTATTACAGTATTACTGGTAACTGCATACAGCAATACTCTCCAAATAATACATATGCATACTTTTCTGGGTTCCATGATGCTATTTGCAAGATATCTAACCTTCCATCTACACAGAAATCCACTCAGAAATGATTTTTCCCTTTGTAACTGAATAACAAAATGGCAGAAACTTCCAGATTTTCCCTTACATAGTTATCTCCCCTGCATCCATGACAATAAAATGGCGACTGTATTTTCTTTCGGTTTGCAGACACTGAATCTGCATTAATAGCATGCGTCAATCACTTTCAAAGACTAGTGGTGACCTTGAATAGTCAATGTCACAAGACACCAGGGCAAGTTCATTGTGTTGCACAATATTGTCACTGAGGTACCTGTATTGTGATACATATTCCAATATATTCGAGCTAAAGCCTATCCCAGTGAGTGACACTGCTTTGTTCATATCAAGGGCCTAAAAATATGTCATGGTTCTGATAACAGCAATGTCAAAAAAGGTGGCATAGTTCGGGGATTCTGTTTTTGATATACATGTTTGTAAATTATACCATTTTGTCAATGAATTGCGAAGGAAAACATCAGTTGAGAATGAAAGTCTGTGAAGATGATAATTTAAACAGAGATAATCACAAAACATATATTCTTTTACCCAAAATACCAGTTCAAACACAAAAACACTGCAATATGTATCAATACAAAGTGCATTTCAGTACACCAGGAATGCTGTGTCCTAAAAGACACCACCATGGAATATAGCCACAAGTTTTCCTACTGTTCTGGCTAAGACCTACCTTGGCCAGATTGGTGGACTTCCCGACTCCATTCACACCACAGAAAGTGATGCAGTAAGGTCGCTTCTTCTGTTTGCAGTCCATAGCATCACGGAGGATGTCAACTCGTCGCCGTGGAGACAGAATCTGGACACAGGATTCCTGGAGGGCATTCTTCACAGTGGAGTTCACACCTTGAGTAAAACAGAACATAAGTGAGTGAGTGAGTGAGTTTGGTTTTACGCCGCTTTTAGCAATATTCCAGCAATATCGCGGATGGGGACACCACAAATGAGCTTCACACATTGTACCGATGTGGGGAATCAAACCCAGGTCTTCGGCGTGACGAGCCAACGCCTTAACCATCAGGCTACCCCACAGCCCCCACCGAACATAAAACACATACACCTTAAGGGCTGCTCTCACTTACACTGTTTGTTTTGTATGTTCGTTAACGCCACACTCAGCAATATTCCAGCTATATGGCAGCAGTCTGTAAATAATCGAGTCTGGACCAGACAACCCATGTGTCAACCAAGTCAGGCCACCTGTCGCCTCTTATGACAAGCATGGATTGTGGAAGACCAATTCTAACCCCGATCTTGACAGGTCAGAACATACTTTCATCCTTCAGGTGAGCACCCAGCAATATTCCAGCTATATGGCGGCAGTCTGTAAATAATCAAGTCTGGACCAGACAATCCAGTGATCAACAGCATGAGCATCAATCTGCGCAATTGGGAACCGATGACATGTGTCAACCAAGCCAGCGAGCCTGACCACCCGATCCCATTAGTCGCCTCTTACGACAAGTGTGGGTTACTGAAGGTTCATTCTTACCAGGACCTTCACGGGTTCATCCTTCAAGTGTGTCACTATGGCCATGTTCACAGAATCCCCGAACCGTCCCATTTCTCACCTTCGAAAGTTCCCAGCACTTTCCCCCTCTAGTTTTGCAGCCACGTCCTCACACAACTTCACAGATATATCGGCAGCCACATTCTTCCCTGAAACATACAGTAAGTCCTTATAAACATACACATCAATTCCAAAATCACATCAGTAGCAAATGCTTATCAATATTTTAAGTGTTTATGGAAGAAGAATAAAAACTCTTAAAAGTTTCTCAAGTTTTGTTGACATTTATATGTGAAAATAACATTCTAATTGACAAGTCAACATACACTTCAGACCTCTACATCCATTATTAACAAAAATATACATAAAATACATCGTAAAAAGGATGAGGGAACGATGACCACAAATTGACCCTCCCAGTATCCATGACAACTGTACCCATGGTAACAGCTGCAGACTCACCTATCAGATGGTCCTTCATCTTCTCCAGGGCAGCCTTGGCATCTTCTTTCGTCAGAGTTTTCGATCCAACAAGGTTCTTGAACATGGAGAACATGCTGTAGCCGCCGCCTCCGCCGCCAGACTTGGCCTGGCTGTAATTGAAGACAACATGCATCAACCAGGGTCCAATATCGGCACCTGCCCTAAGGTCCATGTCAGGTAGATCTTGTGTCGGCCAATAAATTCAATTGTCTATGGACTGAAGTAAATTTACCTGTCCACAGAGATGCCAAGCCCAAATTGGTGCAATTAGGAATCTGAGCTCCCTAAGATAGAAACAATTAGGAATTTTCCCAACAAATTTAGGATCCCTATAACACTTTTCAATGCCATTACACATAGTGATCTTTATACAACTGAAACCGGTTTGCAGTACTCGGCAGCAGTGTTTGTGAATGTTAAGTGAATAAAATAAACAATGCATGGAATTTATCAGGCAGCCTACTCAACTTCCAGATTATTTCTTGTGCAAACAATTTGAGAACTTCTGTAAATAAAGTGTTATATTTATTTAATTATCATTATTTATAGTCAAAGATGATCCTAGCCCTCTAGTAAGTAAGACTATCTATATCTTTGTTATATTTTGAAAAAAATCGGAATGAATTTGGCTTTGATTCCAACAAATTCGGGAGGGTTGGCATCTGTGTCCATATTTTTTAATGAAGCTGCATGTTGAAAAAATTATGGTCAGAGCCCATTTTTACAAAAATTACCTCAGAGGTAAGATCCTAGTTCCAATGCTTTTACTGCCTGCGTTAGATGTATATGCCATTTATTTCCACCTCAAACTGTAGTGTTTCAAATGAGCCCCAGAAAAATTAAGCCCAGGCCTGAAGACTAAAGTATAGGCCTTAGATGTTATGTCCAGGCCTGAAGAATTAAGGCTTAAGTCCTGGCCTGAGAGTTAAACCTAGGCCTGAAGAGTTAAGCCCAGGCCTAGAAAGGAAAGTCCAGGCCTGAAGAGTAGTGCAGGCCTGAAGAGTTACGGGTTAAGCCCTGACCTGAAGAGGTAAGCCCAGGCCTGAAGAGTTAAGTCCTGGCCTGAAGAGGTAAGTCCAGGCCTGACCTGAAGAGTTAAAGGCCTGAAGAGTCTAAGCTCTGAAGAGTTAAGCCCTGACCTGAAGAGTTAAGCCCTGGTCTGAAGAGTTAACTCCAGCAGTGCAGTTGGTGGTTCCTGAAGGCAACCTGCTATTTTTTTCAACCACTCCTCCATAATTGTTGGCCTATCAGGCATCATAAAGGGAATTATCATCTCAACATAAAACAGAGTCAAGTAAAACTGAGTGAGTTCGGGTTAAACCGTTTTTCAGCTATATATTAAAGCCTGTCACCTTGATATGGGAGGAAATCCCAGAGTGATGATGTATCACCCGTTCACCATTCAGGAATCGAAATAGTGCTTAATTTGCGTGGCATGGCACAGTAAATACTGCAATCGCACAAATGAAATATTTCAGTGTGCCCTGACGGCATCACTAAAATAATAAAAATAATTCTCACCGTCATTCATCAAATGGAAAGGGCAACAAATAGAACCAACTCAAATGATTCAAAACCTATTTTGACAAAGGCAGACCTAAATGATCTGTCTGGTGCCTGATGTCACCATTCCAATAAATTGCATTTCAATATCTGGAAGGGGTGTGGTGCTGGCAAAATCAGCTGGTCAACCATGATTTGAAGCCACAATCAGATTTCTGGCATACTCAAGGGACACAACTCTCCATAGCAACTTGCAGTGTATTGTAGTTACCAAGGCACATAGCACCAATGGAAAACTTGTCCGCAGTTTTCAAACAACTGCGTTTAATGTCAAATAGCCAGTTCCTAGCAAGACTGAGTGAAAAATATTGATGAGTAATGCGATCTGAGAACATTACATAATACATGTGAAATGACCTTTGTTTCACTATTTCTTTCACTTGTGAACGAGAGAAAAAAAGGATTAAACTGTGTTTTAATGTTTTCAAGTTCTGTAACAACGTGTCAGGTTATTTATGGAGAGAGAGCCCATGATCAGCAGATCCTAGCACAGCTAAGGGATACAATTCAGCATGTCACATGTAATCATTTAGCCATGATTATTTTTCATAAAACAAACTGCTACAGAGTTTTAACCTACCAAATGGTAAATGATGCAGTGAATGAGAAAATGTCACTTGTCCTGAATTTTACTTGTCTGAGACAAAGGGTCAAATGTTAATTTTAAATCCTGTTACCCATTGGTCAGCTATACTAATGACACTGACTGACTGACTGACTGAGTGTAGTTTTACGCCGCTTTTAGCAATATTCCAGCAATATCACGGCGGGGGACACCAGAAATGGGCTTAACACATTGTGCCCATGTGGGGAATCGAACCCGGGTCTTCGGCGTGACGAGCCAACGCTTTAACCACTAGGTTACCCCACCGCCCCCCATACTAATGACAGATGACTGACTGACTGACTGAGTTTGGTTTTACGCCGCTTTTAGCAATATTCCAGCAATATCACGGCGGGGGACACCAGAAATGGGCTTCACTGATTGTACCCATGTGGGGATTCGAACCCGGGTCTTCGGCGTGACGAGCCAACGCTTTAACCTAATGACAGATGAGAAAGTCTCACCTCTTGGACGCAGCCAGAGTTACTTCTTCCTCTGATTCATCTTCTTCCTCCTCTTCCTCACTACTCTCCGGCTCGATATCCCGTAGTTCCCCAGCTAGCTGACCCACCTGGCTTCTCTGTTCAACAGGAAAACATTCATTAGTTTCAAAATTCATAAAATCATGTTCAATGACAAAAAACAAAATGTATGAATTTCTAAGAATTAGATATTTTCATCATATTCTGTGTCATTTATCCCTTAAATGGTAGAAACACAGATGCTGTGAAAGTTTATTCAGTGGTGCACAACGTTTTTGGAACTGTTGAGTTGAAATGTCAGTAGAATGAGTTGAGTTTAACTTTTACTACCAATTTGGATAGTATTTTATTTCAAGACGTGATATAAATCTGAACTTGTGACATTCCACACTTCCATTTTTGTTTGTTTGTTTGCTTGTTTGTTTAACGCAAGACTCTTCCATATTTTGATGATATGGCATCGGTCTGGAAATAATTGAGTTGGGATACAATAACATGCCTCGACAATGTCAGCGAGCCTGACTACCCAAACCTGTTAGTCACCTCTTACACCATGCACCAGTTCTTACCTGGATCTTCACAGGTCTCACACTTTCTTGTGAACATTAGTGTTGGGAATTGGTTAAAATCTCATAATTGATGATTGGTTCAGTACTACCGATCAATCATTGAAAATAATCGGTTAGCGTCATTTATGAAATTTGCTAATGCACATTAAAAAAGGGGAACACAATGTAGTTCTTCTGGGGTTTTGGGGCAACATTTCACATCTTTAAACGATGACTAGTATGAATCTTTAAGATAAATTCAATCATGACTTGAAACGAGCTTGTAGTGGTTACGAAATGTAACAGACAAAACCAACCATATGAAAAATATTGTTAATGAAAACAAGTGTTCCAGAATTGTTTGTGTTCGATTATGAGAAAACATGATCGATTGCTTGGTCGTTTAGTCACTACGACCAATCTTCGATTATTTCAATTAATCGGACCACCACTAGTGAACATGAATGATTTTTTCAGAGAACAGAGAAACACAAGGAAAACATAATTAGAGTTGAACTTTTGTTTATGTCACACAGAATGGCACCGATGCCTTAAGTCTCACCTCAGCCTCAGTTGTCATGGTCTCGCCATTCATTTCTTCCTCCTTGCCGCCTGCGGTGCTGAAGTTGAGCGAGTCCATGTCCCGGGATGTCCCAGCGTTTTCCCACACACGCTTCGCCTTGCCCTTCTTCTTCTGAGATTCGGGACTCTTACTGAAAATGGACATCACATAATCCACTAAACATGGATTGAAACTGTCATCATAAGACATTTCTGTATTTGTCCATAATTTACTTAATAACTAGGTCTCAACTTTTGGTTAGAGTCAGTACTGACTATCTCTGTTATCTGGTGGATGGAGTATCTGCCCAGGGTGGAGTGGTGTGGTCTGACGTCCAGCAACATCCAACCAAGATAATTTAACACCCAGGTAAGGTGAAATTGGGTTTAACGTCGTGCTTGAGAATATTTTGCTCATATGACGACGTGCATGCGTGTGTATGTGTATGTGCGGCTGCTTGTACTAGCCCAGACTGAAGCTGGTTTTATAGTGCTAGCCCACTGAGATACCATGCTGCAGTGAAGCATGAATACCCCACTCAGACACATTATACTGACTCCGAGCCGACCAGTCCTTGTTGTACCCATTAATGCCGAGCGCCAGGCAGGGACCAACAAGTATTTAATAGCCAGGACTTCCATTTATCTTAGGCTGGACCTTGCAATGAAGGGCATAATGCAAGACTGGTAAAGTTACCTGCACAAGCAGCATTTTAAGAGCACTGGTGCAGCCTAGATATATCAAAACTGACTAGAGCTGGTTATCGTTACATTTTGTCGGATCGATAATCGCTGGTGTCATATCTTTAATCGATCAATTATAAACATTTGGACGGTCATTTCATAGTCAAATACCTACGTTAGCGAACTAACTTCCGGTTTGTCAGCATGTGTCAATTGTTAACGCTAGCAATTTTCTTACTTTTGCAGCGTCTTTGGATCATCAAGTATCCTATCATCTTATGTTTCCGATCGTAATATGTTTTCGATCGGCCATTACAATTCCCGTTTATAGCGCGAAAATGTGAGAAAATCCATGAGAAGCATCCCGAATGACAAGAAGGTGATCCTCGCTATCAGTCTGACATAAATATGCTACGAATCAAGTTTTGCATTGGCAACAGAATTAAAAAACCCACTAAAGCTTCATTTTAACTCAGGGATCCTTACCGCAATCTCTACCTCATAATCAAATGCACAAAAATTCTAAATCTTTACTCCAAAAGATGCCATTAATGTTTCGTCTGTTTGACATCCCACCTTACAAGATCACGCTACTAGTCATGTGACCACGCTGATAGATTTATGTTCATGGCATGCCATTTTAAAAAAACCCATTTCTGTCTTGTGCTGATGTTGAAGGGTGAACAAAGACGTTTCCTTAACGTTGAAACACAAAATATATTCTGTGAAGTATTATAATTAAGCATTGTATCTAAAGTTCAAGAGAATTCATCAAACCAAAAATAGCTCTAATTTTACCCGCCTTACGAAAGTCACGTGTTTGTATGCAAATGAAACTCAAGGAATTCCCTCAATCAGCCAATTAGAAAGTAGCTAACCTGTAGTACCTGGGTCGTATTGTGACGTTTTGTTGAATGATTGGACAAATCAGTTTGGCACAGTTTGCTCATGAATATTAATTCATTTCTATAAACCACTTTAAAACCCGTAGTATTTCAATGACGAAATAGGACACCCCAATCTACATATATCTAGCATTGCCATTGGCTGACAGGGAAAGCATGCACACTTGTGTAGTACACAGCTTCCGTTTTAGAAGTAAACAAGCAATGACAATCAGATTGTTCGGTAAAACAAGACATGACAAGGTGGAATAAATCCTTTTAATGTATGTGCATCTAAATAATGATTATTTCCGATTATCGATCTGTAGTGTATTTGTAATCGACAATCGTTTATATTGACTTAGATCGAACGATTAACCGATCCTACGATTAATCGCTCCAGCACTAAAACCGATTCCTGTAAATGATTGGTTGGTTGTTGTTTAACGCCGCACTTATTAGTATTCCAGCCATATGGCGGTGGTCTGTAAATAATCGAGTCTGGACCAGACAATCCAGTGATCACCATCATGAGCATCGATCTACGCAATTGGGGCATGATGACATGTGTCAACCAAGTCAGCAAGCCTGACAATCTGATACCATTAGTCGCCTCTTACGACAAGCATTCCTGTAAATGACACTGTTCACACTCACGTCTCAACAACCGGCTTCTTCTTGCCTCGGTTGAATAGCTTCTCCCTGTTCCTCCTGAGAGTTTCCTCGTCAACTTCACCATTTGTGAACTTCTCAGCCTCCTGGGGTGCTACCTCCACTACAGGCTCTGGGGCGGGCTGAGCCTTAGCCTTGGCTGTAACCATAGTAACTGACAACTGAATACAGACCTATATACAAACATATAGCATTCCTAACCGGTCTGTCCACTGTAATTTAGAACATATTTTGTTTGGTCACGGGTAGATATTCACTCTCCCAATAACCAAATCACATTGTTATCAAGTTGATAATTTCATTCCAATAATTTGCCTCTATTTTATCAGTATTATGTAAGAGCCGACTATATATATCTTTCTTGCAAATGACTATTATTTTTACATTTTGGAAACATTTCCTATCTTACTGTATCTCACATCAGAATGCACAGAATGGTATGTATTTCCAATAGGGATCTGACGTTGTGGAGAAGATCATGGCACGTGTACAGTGTGAATGTGTGTACTAGTCCAGACAAATGTGGCATACCATTGAGTGTATTCTACATGCACATCCCTGGTACAACCTGAGTCTTCGGAGTACTTCCTGGTCAACAGATATGACTTACCATTGACTGGCTTCTAAACGCATGGATCCAAGGTATAACCTAAGTACTGTAAACGCACTTATTTTCGCGTGGTGCAATTTTCGCGGAATTGACAGTTTAGACTACATCGTCGCGGTCAATTATTCGCGCAATCAGTAATTGCCGGAACTGCCAGCTGCCTCTTTGGCCGCCACTAATAGCAGTGAAAACAAACAGAGTGGCTTAACCTGTCAGGCGGCGTTTATTGCTTACTCACAGGAAATCCCTATCTGTGCGATATACTAGTACACAGTAATCCGTTTACTCACGGAAGAGATGAAAAACACATCAGTCTTATGTTCCGAATTCTGACGATCTGACGAATTAACTTCTACTGTATATGAAGCTCTTTGTGATTTCAAACAAGCCGGGTTGTTGTCAATGAGATGATTGAGTGTTAAGTGACTATTCGCTTCATGATGTACTGGTAAATAAAATCTTAATGAATAAATAAAATACTGCTGTATTATTTCTTTCCGAGTCGTTTCATGGTAATCTGTTTTGTATCAAACCATCTGTCATGTGACCAATTTCCATGGCAGCCACAACACACATTGCTGTTTTCGCTAATTCGGCGATGGGATTTGGCTCATTATTTAATTATGTTTTGGGAAATCCATTACAGCGACAGTTAAGTATGATTCTTTATGCTACTATCAGTCGTCATTTTAAGATTCCCGTAGATTTCTGTCTTCAAACTTGATGTGTTATGGTAACAACTCAGGGGCGAGCGTGGCTAGACTGAATGAATGACAGGTTTATTCGCGGTGTATAAATTTTCGCGCTAAAATGTTTTGCGCGATAAGCGCGAAAATAAAACCTGCGCGAAATATAATACGTTTACAGTATTCTAAGTACTTCCTTGTCGACAAATGTGGCTTACCTTTGACTGGCTTGTTTTCTTTCCCCTTGGCAGGCTTCTTCTCATCCTTCTTGTTTTCAATCATAGATGCCACAGTCTTTTTAGATTTGTCAGACTTTTCAAAGGTCCTCATTTCCCTGTGTAGCAAGAAAACATTTTTACAATGTGTACCAACCCATCATGTTGAGATTACATTAAGTCAGGAATCGTTGTAAAATGACAAGCTAAAGATCATCAAAGCTAATTTCTTACTTTGTGAATTGGATAAAAACTTATCATAACTGTAGAAATTGTTATTTCTCAGCCATCTAACATCACGTAAACAACCAAGCCTGGACCAGACAATCCAGTGATCGACATGATCAACCCTGGGGTAGGTTAGTCATCACAGAAGTACCAGCTACCATTCATTACTTCAAAATTGACCAAACCACAATATTGTGTCTTTATTGACATTTTTTTTATAAAACTTTAAATAACAAACCGGGGTTTGAGAGCTTTCGCCTTGCTCTCCTGTTCCTTAACTCGGAGGATGAGGTTGAATTCGTCGGAGAAGTTGTAGCTGTGGGACATGTTGCCCCGAAGCAGTTCATCCTTGTACTTGTTGCGGAACTCCAGCTGAATGTCGTCCAGGAACTTGTCGATGTACGACAGCTGCAGGATTTTCTGGTACGCCACCTGGGAAACAGTGAGTGAGTGAGTGAGGTGAGGTGAGGTGAAATTGGGTTTAACGTCGTGCTTGAGAATATTTCGCTCATATGACGACGTGCATGTGTGTGTATGTGCGGCTGCTTGTACTAGCCCAGACTGAAGCTGGTTTTTATAGTGCTAGCCCACTGAGATACCATGCCGCAGTGAAGCATGAATACCCCACTCAGACACATTATACTGACTCCGAACCGACCAGTCCTTGTTGTACCCATTAGTGCCGAGCGCCAGACAGGGACCAACAAGTACCATATTTTAACGTCTTTTGGTATGACTAGGTTGGGGATCGAACCTGAGACCTTCCGCTCTCTGGGCTGGACGCTCTAACCACTACACCACGGAGGCGGTAATGAGTGAGTGAGTGAGTGAGTGAGCGCACCTGCAGTATCATCTGTTCAATGGGCATCACTTTGTCATTAATTTCTGGTACCTGACCTTAGTATCGGAGGGATGCACGATTTCGACGCAATTAATATAAACATTACTGAATGACATTTTTAGCAAAACTGGTAAATAAGATTAGATTAACAGATTAAATCCATAAATGCAAAGAACATGCTTTATTACAAGTTAGTGTAATAGCAATAACTTGCATCATTCAATATGGATTGGTTAACACTATTTCCCATGATTGATCATGACAAGAAGGTGTACAAAGGTTGGTGGTCCATGAAATTATATATGAAAACGAATCATCTACGGTCATATATAGCAATGTGTAATGGACAGGGCTCCAGATAACTTTTAGGGGTGCGAGTGTACTTACACATCATATTGCAAGTGGAGTGTGAGAATTTTGAATGAGTACTGACATGTTTTTGTGTGAGCGGAGTTGGTGATGTGGTATGTCTGGACGATTCATCGATCACTATTTCCAACCATGTATTTGTATTTGAAGACGAGTGAGAAATAACTGAGCGACCGTGTGATGCGCAAAATGTCAGGTCCAACTGGATATAAATAGGAACAGTGTAGTTTTTAGCCAATTGAAAAATAGTGACGCATATCGTTGCATGGCAACGCAAGTGATTCCTACTGTCGGGGTTTCCTCAAAAGAAAATCGTGTTTCGTGTTTCGCAAAAGAAACTTGACAAGTATTTATCTGAAATAGATTTCCATTTGCACGATACGCACGGAAATTAAATGTTAGACGTACAAAGGTATTTATGTGCGTACACGATACGTTTGAAATCTTATATTATGTCAGACTTAATTGATTTTGAGGCGTACATTACGCCAGTACGCCCCTTATCTGTAGCCCTGATGGAAAATAAATTGTATTGCAAGATACTGCGATTCTCATGATTCTGGTACCTGTAGTGTGATATGCATTATGATATATTAAAAGTGACATGCATGACAGTATATGACACTAATTGTACATGTCAATCCTATTTTCTACATTATAAGTCTCTAAAAACATGGTTCTGATAACAGCAATCTCAGATAAGGTTTCATAGTCAGGGGATTCTATTTCTTTTTTTAAAATATAATATAGTAAGGACAGTATGCTGTTTTGTCATAGAATAATGAAAGAAAAAATTTATTGTGAATGAAAGTCTGTGTGGATTTTAACTTAAACCTTAGAAGAGTGAGTTTGGTTTTATATTGCTTTTAGCAATATTTCAGCAATACAGAGGGCACCAGAAATGTACACCATGAAGAAAATCACTGGAAAAAATACATTCATCTTTTGAATAGCATATTGCGATATACCAGTAATACCGCACAGTTCTAGTCACATATGGTAGAATGAAGACAACTCACCACAAACACCAGCTCAAACTCATTGTCAAGCTTGTACTTGAGAGTCAGCTGATCATGGTTGAACTGATTGCTTCCAGTTCGTTGCTGAAACACACAACACAAGTAATGTATAACATCCAGAAATATTTTAACAATATTGATGTCAGGAAATATAGAATTGCACTTACTCGTTTTCACCTCAGCTCACATGTTTTAAGTGAGGCCAAAAGAAAATATATGTCCGTTTCCTATTACATGCTTTTTAAAATAGGGTAGGTGGGTCGGTTTTATCTTTTATTTTTTAACTTTTATTTTTTACTAGTACCAGAGTACCATATCATGTAGTGACAATGCCTTGTGATGAAACATTGAAAGATTTCTATATCAAATCATTATTCATGTTATTTATTTGTAGATTTGGTCAGTGAGGACCCATTATGCCAATTCAATGCAATTTATTTTAACCATACGTACACTGAAAAACATGAAAATATCATACTCGACTTTGATGAAAATGATGAGTTGAAATGGACTCCAGTCATGATATTGACTTGGTTAAAAAAAGATTTAGGGTCGGGGTGGGGTGTGTGTGTGTGTTTGTTTTTTGGTTTTTTTTGTTGTTGTTAGGATAGGGTCGGTCGGGTTACCGGAAACAGACAAAAACAAATTTGGCCCGAGTTGGTGACTTCTTTGATGGTTGTTTAGTTTTACGCTGCTTTTAGCAATATTCCAGCAATATCAAGCCCGGGAACACCAGAAATGGGTTCACATATTGTACCCATATGTTTCTGGTTGAAACAGGAAGATAGTATGTACATAAAGTACCATTTGCTAACAGGCTTTTTCCCCTTAGTCCAATGAGTGGAAGGGGGAGGGTATATTTTACCAAAATGAATCTTCTCTTTAACATCTTGGGTTCTAACTTAGCTCTGTGGATGTACGTGTATTAATCACCCCACACTGTGTTCGCACCCAATTGAGAGATTCACTTAGTACTGTGGAACGCACCAGTTCCGCGCACAAGAGACAACAGACCATCTTGGGTACATGTTATGTCTCGGACTGTACACTATATGATCTATCCTTTCCTGAACAATGTATAATTGACGATAATACAAGGTAAGTTTCATCTTTTGGGTAAAGTTCAGACTTCAGTACTGATAATATTTACATACCCCAATACTAGAACTGAAGCACATACACTTGGTCCTAAGTCCAGCTTTAACATGTTTTTTTGGGCTTGATACTAGGGCTGTAACGAATACACTATGTTGCGAATATGATACGTATCACGAATATTAGGTAACGAATATGAATAATTATTTATGAATACAATATTGTAGTTAAGTGATTGATGCACAATATTGAATGCCCATGTTGACAGTGTTAATTTGTCACAGCAATAACCAGTGATCTCATGACACTAAAATTTTGTATGTAATAGTTATAGTTGACAGTAACATGTACAGCCTTGGCAAACTAACATGACTTGGGCTACTACAAGGCTAGTACATATTGCATTCTTGCATATCTCGTTTTGAAAAAGGACATAAGGGTTTAAGTAAAATACACTCCCTTAAAAAAATTGTAAATATTCATGAATATTCGGTTCTGGTGACCATGAATAACGAATTGAATTCATGAAGGGCTATGGTTCGATTCACCGAATATGCGAGTGAATCGTTACAGCCTTACTTGATACGTTCATCTTTCATGGAAAACTAAACTGATGAAGCGGTTCTTGTGATAACAACAGTGTCTACAAGCCAGCACTTATATCATGTGTATTGTCTAAGTTACATACAAAGACAAGTTAAACTGACTGACTGACTGAGGTTGTTGTATGCCGCTTTTAGCAATATTCCAGCAACATCACGGCGGGGGACACCAGAAATGGGCTTCACACATTGTACCCATGTGGGGATTCGAACCCGGGTCTTCGGCATGGCAAGCCAACGCTTTAACCACTAGGCTACCCCACCGCCCCAGACAAGTTAAACACATGTTGTAAGTTGTAATACAGTTTCAGATTCACTGGACAGTTCTATGGCATTAAATGTGCTTAATCATGTCAAGGAACAAATATTCAATTTCTGTCATGTGTTTATTGCATCATGTTGCATGGCACAGGAAATTTTGAGTTCTTCTGGAAATGTGTTTTGCCCAATCATCATGTCACTTAGCTATTTACTTCCATGATACTTGGTTAGTTAACTACAGTGTCTTGTCTGGTTTATCATAAGGATAAGGTTAAAGAGTGGTGTAGGTGGGTGGAGGAATGGGGGAAGGTACTGGTTTAGATTTAGGGTACGGGTTAGTGTTAAGGGGTTTTTTTTTAATAAAAATGTGTGTGTGTGTGTGTGTTTTACAGGCGGAAATCTTTCCGAAATATTTCTTTCAGTGACATTTTTATAATTTGGATATGCCTTACAGTAGATACAACTCATCCTTATCAGAATACTGACTGACTGACTGAATTTGGTTTTACGCCGCTTTTAGCAATATTCCAGCAACATCACGGCAGGGGACACCAGAAATGGGCTGCACACATTGTACCCATGTGGGGATTCGAACCCGGGTCTTCGGCGTGAGGAGCCAACGCTTTAACCACTAGGCTACCCCACGGCCACTCCCTTATCAGATGAGGAATATATATGCAGGTGATATCGTTTGAATAGAATTAAATTTAAGGGGGGGATACGGGCGGAAGACTTTCCGCGTACATTCTCCTGATTCTAAGAACATGAAATTTTGGCGATTCACAATGATGTTTACGAATTTTAAAGGTTTTCCGGATGGTGAATATAACATATTGACATGTGGGGATTTTATATCTGCTGACGAATACGATGATTCTTCTAGAAGAGCCCGGAAATCATCAGATTGAACGAAGTTGAGAGGGAAATCCCGGTTTCTATTTGTGGACGTGTTTATCAAGATGGGAAACCATGTTGGCACATGTGAAACGTCACTGGATGAAAGTCTGACCGTCACATTATGATCAGTACGAAAACAATGTTGACACAAATAACGGTCCGCAATTACTGTTCACTTCATTCAATTCAGTAACCTGGTTGGCTTTCAAGTCAATACATGCTGATGCGAATAACTGTCGCCATAAGGCCACTGAGAGACGACACACTCAATCAACAGCTGACTTTACAAAAGTAAATAAAAACTCACCTGTAAAATCACACTTTTTATCAGGGCGTTGACAGATGGTGTAAAAAACTGAGATGTTCCCTGAAAACACCACAAAACAATTCCACCTTTGCTGAAAATCGTGAAAAAGTCTAACATCTTGAAACTTTCGTCTACACTTCTCCGTTCACGCGTTTCCTTTGCAAACCGGAAGTCGAGTATGACGGAAAAACCCGAGTTCACGTCGATTTATACCGATTGGCTATCGTTTACCGTAAATTATTTAAAGGACCACTGACCCAGAGCGATTATTGTTTCCAGCCAACAGTCTAATTATGAAACCTAGCTATGAATTATGAAACTGGTCAGCCTCTGCTCCCTCGACCGTGACAGACACGGGGACTGGGCTACTGTCCACCCTGGCAGAATTTTACAACAACCAGTCCACGGAAATTGCTCTGGATCAGTGGCCCTTTAATGACTCCTGTCACCAAAGCGGTTATGAGGAAATTATTATTCACCTGATAATAACAATGAAGATAAATTTACTAGGCGCATCGATTCTGCGGCATAGCTTAAACATTTTCAACAAAGTATTCAAGAGGAAATTATTTGATGCATTATATCGTACAGCTGTAATACTGCTGAAACAAATATATGCTCACGATATAGTCACAATCGACTCTGCGTTAAAGGGTTTTGTCGCTTCTATTTACGTACAAAAAAACCCCAGAAAATCTAACCCAGCCAACAAATTTGTACTTCTCACTTCTAAATTAAAATTGCTGTTATTATTTTAGTGAACTTTTTGTCTTGTTGTCAACAAATGTAAAGTTTTCGTCAATTTATTAGAATTTTGTACATCCCCTGGTACAAGTATGAACATAAATGGATTCTCTATCAAAACCGAATTATTGGAATGATATATATCTAATTTAACAAAAATTTCACAGTGGTAAATATGAGGAATGTTGTGACAGGTGAGTCGCCAGTCAATGATCCGAGTCGCCAGTCAATGAATCATCTGAGTCGCTCGTCTATGATCCGAGTGCCCGCAGGCAACACCCGCTTGGTGCTAAGATAAAGATGCAGGGACTTGAATAGGCAGATTGTGGCAGATTTATATCCTGTGTCAGTTTGGTTTTGTTCAACCCACATATACTGTTTTTATTACCTTTTTGTCTTAAAAGTGTGATCGTCATTCTCATCGCGATAACAACAATTAACCAGTGAGACAGCGCTATTCAAAGCTGGTGATGAAAACTGGAAAATATAAAAGGAACGCTTGAATTTTCCTGTCTTCCTTTATTTGTTTCTCTCAGTATATTATTATTATCATCATCATTAGTATTATGTATTATTTTTTGGGGGGTGTAGGGGTAGATGGTACGTGGCTTAGTTTGTTGTTTTTTGGGTGCTTTTTGGTGGTGGTGGTAGGGGGGGGAAGGGGGCTGTGAGAGGATGTGTTTTGTGTTGTTTGTTTTGTGATCTTAAAATGGCGGTGGTTTTAACACCATTTAGCAGGAGGAATGCAAGTTCTAGCATTGGTTTGCTTCTCATGTCACCGTATTGAAGTTGTATTGATACCATGCTCCAGCTGCTTGCTCCGTACATTAAGAGTGAGTGAGGTTTACAGTCGCTTTTTAGCAATATTCCAGCAATAGTAGTGAGTTAAGTTTTACGCCGTTTTTAGCAATATTCCAGCTATATCATGGCGGGGGACACCAGAAATGGGCTTCACACTTTGTACCAATGGGGGGATTCGAACCCGGGTCTTCGGCGTGACGAGCGAACGCTTTAACCACATGACTACCCCACCGCCCATCCAGCAATAGTAAGGCAGGGGACACCAGAAATGGGCTGCACACATCGTAGCCATGAGAGGAATCGAACCCGGGTCTTCGGCGTGACGAGCGAACGCTTTAACCACTAGACCACCCCACCGTCCCCGTTCATTAGTATGCGCTGGTTACTTTCAAATACTATTGCAGTATGTTAGGCATGGTCATTCTTCGATATCTTTTACATGTTTTAAATAAAACATGTTCAGTTATAAAATTTAACATTTTACGTATTTTTGTCTTTGGTTCAGCATGACGTATGCTCAGAAATTATCAATTTTGTGTGCTATTTTGTTCGTGAGTCAATTAAACCTTAGTTTTAGGAACAAAAAACAGGTTGTTTTTCAGTTATTTTTAAAATTGTTTTATCGTGTTTATTTATAGCAGCAGATGGGATATTCAAATGGAATAGGTGATGTTTTTCATATGTATACGCGTTTTTTATTCGTCTAATGTTTGAAATACATGTACATAGTTGTAATATTGCCTAAAGCGGCATAAAATCCTTCGTGTTTATTTCATGCAAATCGGTACTGTGTTTATTTTTCTACTTCATAGAGCAAACATACATTTATATCTGCTTACGTCAGATCTTTTCCTTGTCTCGATAATGCAATAATAAATTGGAAAGACTAAATTTATTTGAGGTTCTACTGCATTTATGCGCGTCACCGGTTCGGCTCGGCAGATGTACCAATGACGTCATTTTCTCAGCCAACACAAAATAGTCCGTATTGGATTCGCTATTTTATTAATTTGCCATAAAGATAAACGATCTAATATTATGTGATTTAGCTGTGACAATCACAGACGTATATACAGGTTATAATTTAGGATGTGAAAAGGAGCTTGTAGTAGGACCGCATCACACGAGTAGGAAATTATGTTAATATGCGCACCGCTCTGGACTGAAATACGCCATCTTTGTCACATGTTCATTTTTCCATCTCACATGACCTGTTGTTTGGCCCCGTGATCAAGCTTGCTTTATTTCCTGGCAAATTCAAACATCCACCAAAAAGCCACATGGATATGTTAGATCAGGCACTCGAATCAAGGTGGGTAGACGTAATATGAGATAAAATAAGAAAATATAGGCCTAATTTCGCGAGAATGTTTCAAATGAAAAGCTGTCATCTTCTGAAAAGGATATTTAGATTGGGAAAGATCACCCCTTGACGGGTGCCGTGCCATGTGCGTGTGTTGATGGTGTTTATGTTTCATTATTATATAATCATAATCATATTAATTATTCCAAGCAAATTAGTCGTGGTTTGACCCTGTCATTTTTCACAATGACACGAACTTAAAATAAGTAGGTCGTCTGTGCTTTCCACTCATATCCGCGTTGAAGTGCTCTGTCCTTAGTTTCATGTTTTAGAGAAAAAAAAGGGGTAATACATCTAGTCATTTCAGAGTGCCATCTCAACAACAGCTTACCATAAGTACCGTACAATCATATTTTCGAAATTACCTTTTACTGAAGATGAAATATTTGCCCTATTCTGACATTCTTTTACCGGGAAACAAAAGGGGTGTAACCTGGGGAAGGCGTGGTCGGTTGATGAGCAAATCCACAGTGACTGAAAGTAATGACGTCTATTAATAATGACGTGTAGTTGCGGTGATATTTGGAGCACAATTTCAATTTATTTGGACATATTTATTTTAATTTTGGGTGTAGAACATTGCTTTTACTGTATCAGTCAGTCTCAATTCTTTTACTGATTTGTCTTATATTTGAAGATGAAAAACTTCCTGTATATATTTATGAAAGTAAAAGTGTTTACTTTAGTTAAAACGAACAGTTTACTGCATATTCTAATGGCAATTTGGAAAAAAATGTTTGTATTGTTATGTTAATGAATACGTTGGTAGATATTATATTGATATCTGCAACATAATGTTCTTCAGTTCCGCTTAATGTTTTCCTAAACTCAAGTTCAAACAGGTCTCACAAAACTGTAATGTTATATCAGTGCCAACTTGGACCAGAATTGTGTTGTCATTTTTGGTGACTTGCTTTTTGATGTGAATCCTGACTGTTTTCAGTCTCCAGTTTGTCTGGTTAAGACTCGATTATCATGATTATGTCTGAAATATCGCTAACTGGGCATATTGTTTGTTTAAGAATGAGTAACTGATGATCAGTAGATCTTGAAAGCTTGTCTGTTACCAGAAGTTTATGCTCTAATGATATATACCTTCAAAAACTCATTTATAAAGTGTAAAAGGAGCTAATATGTATTAATTAGAAAATCATCAATCACAGATTTCATCAGTCTTTGCTGAAAAGTTTTGAGATGACCCATTCAAACATGTCTTTTATCATCATTGTCGGTAGATTTGCTGTTATTTTGGACTGTTGTTAGGTTAGCGAATTACACTGATATTTATTGGCTCAGGCTTTGGACTAGTAAAGTAGCAGACAGTTTCATTTTAAATTCCATAATTGAAAACTGATATCAGGATATAACAAGAACTAAAAAATTTTCAACAGTATGATTAATATGTATTGCTGTATGCATGGTATACAGATTGAGGTCACATGTAGGTTAACTATTGGTTAAAATCTGTGATTTGTTTGAGATTAAAGCTTGTGAATAATATTACTCTCTGAACAAACAGTTGTAAGTAAGTAAAGTTATCTTACTTGTAACATCTGTTGTTTCACCGAGGTCATGTGGTCCTCGGGATTTTTTGCAATACAATATTTGAATCTACACACACCAGAAGTTTTGAGTTTGGGTAAACCATGTATATTAGGCCACACTTTTTTTATTACTTGGTTTACGGATCTGCCGACTGTAATTTTTGCTAAAGAAGGACCAATTTTTTTCTTCAATTTTGCCATTTTTTAAATACAGCTGATAAATGAAATATAAATAAATAATTTGAAAATCTACTTTGTTTGGCCTTACAAGGACCCTTGGACTTCGTACATACCCACTTGTGTATGATGATAGAAATATGTGCAGAGTTGTGTCCCTTAAGCATATCAAAAACCTATTTTTACAAATCTCAACATTATTTCTTTGATGACAATTTTTTGTATGATTCATTGATTGTGATTTCAATTATGTTTCAAGGTTTGCCACATCATATGTATGCATGTGGATTTCACGTCAGTTATAAACATCTTGGAACTGTGTCACTATGGGCTTTTCCCCCACATTAAGCTCTCTAAAGATTGATTTACCAGTGAATATATAGCACCTCTACTGCAGTGTATTTTAATTTTGTGTAGCGCCATGAGCAGGCACCAAGTGCCTGGAGTTTTCATGCATAACAAATCTTCTGTTACTATTATTATTTTTATTATTATTAAGCTAACACACTCCAATGTAACAGAAATATTTCCCAACTCACAGTCGTACATTTTATCTCATTCGTGTTCAAGCACAAAGCTAAAGAAGACATTTTCTGTATGGAGATAAGCCATGTTTGCCTTTAACCACAAAAACGTGGAACATAGTTTATTCAGATAGAGACGCATATGACCTAATTTAACTGACCCGTACACGTTTTGTTAACCCAGACACCAAATTCTGTACTACATGAAAATGTGCAATTGTCAAAGCAAGCATAGTTTTGGAAGGATGCTGTGTGATGATACACATCATGGTTGCAGGAATGATTGAAACAACAATTATTTCCAACAACAAATCACAACACAGAACATGTTACTACTTGATTTTGACCCTCTTGAAGAAAAGTTCGTTTTGATTACTTACCGCTATGCGTGATTGTTGCACCAAGATGCAATGATCACAGTATATGGCTCATTCTAAGAAAATATCAGGTTTCCTATTTGGCAAATATGACAAAAACATGTTCCTATCTAATATATTGATTTTGGTTTTTGATCAATGCATGACCCATAATGACCTTTTTGAGCAGCCAAAAACATGAGATTCAGATCTTCATTTTCTTAATTTTATTGCAACATTGGCACAAGGTAACTGCTAGTCTAGATCCCTTCTGTTATCATTGGTAAAAGTAATTAAAGTACTGTCGGAAATGCTAGAAAAATGCTTTTTAGCCTTAATATCTTTATAAAGGTGATACATGTACTATGTTGTCAATATATCAACTCGCCTATAGTGTACCTAATTTTTATTTCAATCGATTTAACATTCCCATGCATTTAAAGGGCAGTTTACAAGAGAGAATTTGGTACCAAAACAGCAACTTCAGATTTTTTCAGAGTTCAACAACAGAAATCTGAAATAGTCTTTACATTTATGCTAATAATACAGGTGGTGTAAAAATATGAATTAACGTATTTCCTAAACAAATAAATGTTGAATGTTTTTGTTACTTTACTTAATTATCGTTTCTTTATTGAAGAAATATTAATATAAATGTTAAGTCTTGATAAATAAGTTTCCCGTCATGCATGCACATCTTTATCACAGCGTCCACTATGGCCAACGATTTGCAGTCGATTGTTGCAAAGGTTTATAATTTTTTTCTGCTTGAAAAAGACGGAGGTAAACCTTTCATTAGTTTAGAAAGGGTTTATTACAGAACTTGTAGAGCTGTTGGTATGTCTTACCAACAAGTTTACAATATTGTAAACAAATCAGACAAGACAGGGACCGTCTCAAAAGCAAAACCGGGACGTAAAACCGTCCTTGACAACTTTGACAAGGGAGTGCTTAGACGGGCGGTCTACAAACTTTATGAGAAGAAGAATATATATATTCTTAAGGGGCTACACCAGTGACTTCGTTAAATCTTTGGCCAATGTTCACAACTAGATTAAACTGACCGAATTACATCCATATTTTTTCAATGAAATATACTGTTGACATGCAAAACATTTATTAAAACGTTGCACATTTCTACAATCAATCGATAAGAAAACACATGTGATAGGATTCTTTCCAATGTACAGTAATTGTGATGTTTATTTCAAAACAAACACACATACACACAAATGATCCCTTACATAACCAATACGTTATACTATAATGCACACATATTCAACATTTTGCAGAAAACATCTATTGAGATGACCCCTCGCCCTAGCGTGTGCTCTGGTGTCAATTTCACCTGTCGATACCGTGGATGCTGATGACATAACACAGGCAGTTAATGTTTGTATCAAATAACGTCCCACTACCCCTTATTTTTCTAAGTTTTTGGTATTTTCATCAGTAAAAACACATTTTAGAGCATGTCTCAAAATTTATACCCTCGGTCTACATTAGGTAGATGTTTCTTGAAGTGATATTTGTTATTTAAGTAACTGTAATACCTCTGAATTTTAAATATATGTCAAAAAGCATTTTTCTAGCATTTCCGACAGTACTTACGCAACGTATATACTAGTGGTGGTCCGATTAATTGAAATAATCGAAGATTTGTCGCAGTGACTAAACGACCAAGCAATCGATCATGTTTTCTCATAATCGAATACAAACAATTCTGGAACACCTTTTACATTAACAACTTTTTTCACAAGGTTGGTTTTGTCTGTTACATTTCATGAGCACTACAAGCACGGTCCAAGTCATGATTGAATTTATCTTAAAGACTCCAAGAAATTTATGTTCCTAACATACTAGTCATCCTTTAAAGATGTGAAATTTGAGGGAAAAACAAACAAAGAACTACAAGTTTTTTCTTTATGTTTTTGTGCAAACAGGAAAATTTCATAAATGACGCTAACCAATTATTTTCGATGATTGATTGGTTGTAATGAACCTAATTAATGATGTTTAAGAAAAAGTAGACATACCAAAAAACTTTGCTTAAATGGTACAGATTATCTAGGCTATGCGTGGCGAACCTCAACGTTTTTAACATTCATAGTGCCTCGGCGCGGTTATCACGTTTACAGAACATTTTGGACACCGGTTACAGGGCAGTTATTAGAGACAGGAATTGATCATCTTAACCCCTATCATGTGCATGCAGTTGCAGTTAAATTAACCGTGTGGTCAGTCAGTTTTGAATTTATCGACCAGTTTCCTGATGAAGAGTTTTTAAAAAAACTTGCTTCTTTTTATTTTATCAAAATATTGAGCATTTTCGAATTAAAGCCCTGGGCTTAAATATGGTTAAAATATTTCATCACTAGAACAGGGAATTCCCGGTACATGGATTGTTCATACATAGTTGTCTGCAGGTCATTGTGCCCTTCGGTGTTGTTCATGATATCAGTCACTGGTTTGCCTGGCCCACGCTCAGTTACTATCTTATTCTTAAGGCTGCTGTCATGTTGCTGGTATACCAATGTATTTAGACATGTATTTAGTTAAATGTTGCATGTATCGTCCCTTCGAGCATGTGAGAAGAGGATTTGTTTCCATTTTGTTTGAAATTCATGTCTTGGCAATGCCCACAAGGTTCCATTCCAAGTATTTTGGTGTAATGACCTCCGCTTGTATTCTAGATTGGTGCATTCTGATAACTTGCAGAGCTTCAGACCAATGTGAGTACATACGGGTAGGTGGCGGGAAGGTGTTCAAAGAGGTGTGTCATGTGACTCAGTTCATGTGAATGGGAAGGTGTCAGAAATGGTCGGTCATGTTACCCAGTGTGTGAAATTTACGCTGGTCCTGTGGTCCCTGGCTAGTAAAAATCCATCAGGACAACTAAATGATAAGTTTGCAGTGGTCCTGGTGGCCAGTGAATTTTGTATTGATAAAAATTATCGTCCACTCTCTGGTCCTGTGGTCTAGTGGGAAATTTTGAAAGGTTTCTTTTCCTGGTTACCCAGTTCTTGTGAATGGTTGGGCATCAGAAATATAGTGCCAAGTTATTTTGTTTAAAATATGTGACCCTTGGGCAGCTGATTTTGAAACTTTGTTATCAGAACTTTGGTGCTTTGTTATATACGATCAATTTATCCCTACAAATTCACAATATTGGGACAGTATTTGAAATAATGACCTTTGGAACTGTAAATTGTCCAGAAAGAGGGTTATTTGATTTTGTCAGGGGTCCAAGCCCCCAGATCTGTGAGCCTGTTATTATAACTGATAATGCCTGTAAGATCATGTTTCATTGTTCAAGGTAGCCCTCCTCAGTATTCCAGCTACATCCTGACAGACAGAGAATCAGATTATGCAAGGGGTTTGGTGTATCTCAGTCATCTAAGGCCCTGCAATTTATGTGCCAAGGCTTAGTTTCAGACTGTATACAAGCAGATTTAGGTTGAAAAGGGTCCCCCTTTGACATGGGATATTCAGAACCTGAGGGAAATTTGGACTTGCTTCATTTTGAGCTGGGGCTTTCTCATATCAGAAACAGTCAGTGCCAGTGAGACAGACCAGGGATAGAAATGCTTTCTTTATTCTAGGTGTGCATTAGGCACTAGACAAATATTTAAGGTATGCCTTTCAGAAATCAAGTGTGCCCATATGTTTTTAGAATAAATGACAATGATGATGATCATTTGAAATTTATTGTTAAATAAAGAAATGGGTTTATGAACATTCAAATATGTATGGCAATATTCAATTTTGAAAAAAATAATTGTTTTGGGGATTAATTAACTAGATGTGAGATATGTCTCCCAAAAATTAGGTTTGTCATAAGGGCACCGAAAACATTTTTTAGCCGTGCCATTCCAATATTTACCGTGCCATGGCATGCTAATATATGGGGTATTTCGAACCATGCATACTCTATACAATTTACTACCTGAAATTGAGTTTGAGATCCATATGCATACCATGCAAATATTGGATTAATTATTAGCATCATATCAATACTCAGTGTGCGAAATTTATGCTGACCCTGTTGTCCCTGGCTAGTCAAAATTCATCAGGACCACAAAATGATAAGTTTGCAGTGGTCCTGGTGGCCAGTGATTTTTTTAAAGTAAATCTGCGAATGTTATTTATGAAGTACAGACAGGACCACTAATTATTGTCCACTCACTGGTCCTGTGGTCTAGTGGGAAATTTTGAAAGGTTTCTTTCTCTGGGTAACGAGATAGGTAAATGTTCTGTGACCTGCATCGCTTCTGGCTTTCCTCCCATGTATCACACACCTTGGTTTAACTAACCATTCACAATCATGTTCAGCCTGATTCACTCACTAACACACTGATGGTTGAAGTTCTCGGAGTGTAACTTGCATCACGACAAAATCTATAGGTGGTGGTTAACCTGGTGGTTAAGGTGGTCTTTCATCATACAGAAGACCTGGGTTCGATTTTCACATGGTACAAATTTCAGAGCTGCCAACCACTCCGATTTTGGCGGAATTACTGATTTTCAAATACAAAAGCTGCTGTCCGATTTCTCTTTTAGAAAAAATTCTGAATTTATTTTTAAGGTGTACAATTTCGTAAGTCACTGGTGATTTATTTTAGTGAACACTGGTAAAATCATTCAGAAGGTTAGCGTGTGATCCTTTGGGTGTCGATTGTGTATATTGCGTGTTATTGACGAGGAAGTTTCACAAAGTTTTCCCGAATGCATGTCATAGTCCGGATGAAAGTGAAACAAAGTAGCAGAGCCGACCANCTTTGAACCTCACCCTCAACTCTCACCTTTGGTGCTCAGGAAGCCTCATATCTGGTGTTTGACCAGATGGCCCGGATTTGCTAAAAGCCAATCTATGAGCACTGTCACATTTCCCCAGACTGTAACAGATCGCAACTTCCATACTGTAACATAGTCCGACAGTAGCACTAAGGTGATGAAACTCCCATACTCTGGTTGACTTCCGACAGGTAAGTAGTGCTAAGGTGATGCAACTCCCATACTGTAACATTGACTTCCGACAGTCGTAGTGCTAAGGTGATCGCGAACTCCCATACTGTAACATAGACTTCCGACAGTCGTAGTGCTAAGGTGGTGATGTAGTGCTAAGGTAAACTCCCATACTGTAACATAGACTGTAACATACAACTCCCACACTTTTAAAGTAGAGTGCTGAAGGCTTAAGGTGATCGTAACTCTCATACTGTAACATAGACTTCCGACAGTTGTAGTGCTAAGGTGATCGTAACTCCCATACTTTAACATAGATTTCCGACAGTCGTAGTGCTAAGGTGATCGTAACTCCCATACTTTAACATGGACTTCCGACAGTCGTAGTGCTATGATCGCTTTGTGACACGGGCTCCAGATCCACTCATTCACTCCCAATGTATACAGTATAGGAATGCACTAATTTCAGTGATCATTGGTTTTCAGAGCAAGCACAATGTGGTGACGTGAAACCCCAGTTTTCATTGCTTCTGTTGAGCAGGATATATTCCTGCTGTGATTGTACAAGTCACAATGACTGTAAAGGTTATCAACAGCAGAAGGGCTGTATATAGACCTGACATATCAGGCTGAATCATCACTGCTATGTTTAGAAGCTAATCTTTCGTCACAGATGAAGGTCAACAACTTTGCATATAATGATAAATTCTCATCACTCAGAAATGAAAGCGGACCCTCGGATCTAAAAAAAAAAAGACTGATTAGTGATATTTTGGTTTCTGTCCTGATTCTGTCTGTCTGTCTGTAAGTTTTTTAGCTGCTTTTAGCAATAAAACAAATATTTAATTAGCACTATCATCATTTCCTAAGTGTGTTGACTATCAGCTGACAAACTTATATATGCTTAGGTAAATCTAAATATCCTAGACTGTGGTACTGAACCAGTGGCTGAACTGGCAGATTTGTTCAGTGTGCGAAATAGCCACTGGCCCACTAGCCCACAGGCCAGTAAATCTTCATGGGGTCATTTGTAAATATATTGCTCTCTCTGACTTGTTAAGTTATTACACTTTTAGATCATGCAAGATTATGGCCTGATAAAAATGTTTGCAGCTTAATGAAGAAACTCGTGTCATACCAACAATATCTTATTCTCATCTATATTATTGTAATCTTTTACTTAGTTTCTACATTCAAATTTCGGGCTAGTGAATTATTTTGTGGTCTAGTAACCATCAGGCATAGCTAGGCCAACTGGCTCGCAAAATTTAGAAACTATTTCGCACTGGATCTGACTCAAATTGAAATTGTTTACGAACCTGTCACATCAATCGAGTAGGCATTGTAATGTTTTATTTTTGATATATTGTGGAATTGTGTTATACAGTGCACAGGTCTTTGGAGAGATGTCAGTCAGTGAGGGCAAGAATGTGACCTAATTTTATGTTTGTATACTATGCTGGTAAACCGCAGTGATGGTTAGTGGTGTCAACTGAAATGTGTGACAATAGCGGAATCCATGTACATATTCAGCATGAACTGGATAAATACACATGTAGAGTTTATCTCTTTTCTTTTCATTAAAATTGATACAATCTCGCTATATACCTGAACCCTCTGGTCTGATTGATGAACTTACTTTGTGTAAACCATGGGCATGCAGATTTAGAAATAAGGGTGTTTTAGGGACGAGTCCATGCAAGCCCGAAAATGGACTAGTTAGAGATTGTAGCCATTTCCTTTATGCTTGAACACAACAATTGTTACTATATTTACGATAGCTTTTTTTCTGTGCTACAATGAGTGGCAAGTGTTCCAATATTTCAGTAACCCATGCTTGTTGTAAGAGGCTGACTAACAGGATTGCACGGCTGAACACATTTCGGTGATTTAGTACCCATGAAACCACAGCAACGCAGTGCTGTCATAGCATAAGACATGTCTTTAAATAGCAATGTTTTGGTGCCATAACTATTCAAAGTTTAGAAGAAAAATGAGCTAACATATTTATGCTTATAATGTTAGATTTATTGTTGATTTATTTATTTTTAAAATGACATGCACCTGTTGCAAGTTAGACTAGTAACTACAGTCCATTTGAGACAAAATGATACCGATGAATTGCAATCTAACACAAAAACAAATAGACATAAAAGAATCAAACCAACGCAGAGTGCAATAAAAACAACAGACCAACTCTAGAAAAAAATTGCAGAATTTTTGTCACAAAAATAAAAAAGTTGTTTAAGAAACTGTCATCATTTATTTGTGCGTTTTCCCAGTTTGTGACAAGGCGCAGTGGCAACTAAAGGAACAGCTCAAAAAGCGATATGCACATGCATTAGTAACGTCAGAGACATGATTAATGTTGATTGACAAAATGAGAGAAAATTAAAATTTGCTCCCAACGTGAAGTCTATAATTTACAAAGTCTATGATTTCTTCATTAAAATGACAGGGCAGACCCAAGTATGCAATTACTAAGTACATACAGCGCACTGCCTGTGCAGTTGGGGTGTCATCACACCAGCTCAAATGTTTGTTGCACGTGCATCTCGCTTTTCGAGCTGTTCCTGTAGTTGCCACTGCGCCCTTGTAATTGGATTGGGTGGTCAGCCTTGCTGACTTGGTTGACACATGTCATCGTATCAATTGTGTAGGTCGATGCTCATGATGTTGATCACTGGGTTGTCTGGTCCTAACTCGATTATTTACAGACTGCTGCCATAGAGCTTGAATATTGCTGAATGTGGCATAAAACAAAACTCACTCACTCACTCCAATATTACAGGCCTTGAATGTTACTAGTTTATGAGAAACTAACTAGGTCTTCATCTTGTGAAGACTAGCAGGAATCCAAAGTCTGTTGTACACACTGTGGGATATATGATTATGGGGTGGCCTTGTCATCTACTGGCAAACAAGGATAGGTTGAGCACCGACCTGACAATTGACCCGTATTAGCATGTATGAGTGCCACCCACTGGCGCTTGCCATTGTTAGCGAAGGGGCCCCAGGTTGTCCGCGATCAAGTGTAGTGTGACTTTGAGACTTTATTTGAGAAAATTATCAATATGCAATCCATGCAATTTTCCTCTTCATGATATCATGAAATTTGGTGCTAATTTATATAATATTGCTGATATTCATAATCCATATTGGAAAGATGTTTTAAATGCATGGAATATGTATTGTTCTAACATAACCATAGACGAAAGCAACATTGATGAAATTTTAGCACAGCCATTATGGTTTAATCATAATTTTAAAACCAAAATCATTATATCAGACATTGGGCAAATAAAGGACTATTAACCATCAAAGACATGTGTGATGAAGAAGGTTTGATGTCTTTTGAATCTTTGAAAAGTAAATATTCAGTAAAAGGGACAGAATTAGATCATAGATATGTTTTAAATATTTTACCTAAATCATGGAAAAATACAATAACAAATCACAGATATATACATAACTATGACTTGAATCTAAATTCTGATCAAAAGAATTTTATGAAATCATTACAGGGATCAAGATTATTTTATGATATATTGCTATTTAATAATAATAACCCTCATATGTGTCATAAATGGGAGAAAGAGTTTGACGATACTGATTTTGATTGGCCAATGACTTTTATGTCTTACAGACAAGACATTAATGATGTAAAACTCTTAGATTTCCAATTAAAATTTGTACATGGTATTATCTATACCAAAAAGGAACTATTAAAAATGAACCTTATCCAAAGTGCCTCATGCAGCTTTTGTAAAGATGAGGATGAAAACTTGTGCCATGTTTACTGGGAATGTTGTGAAACTAAGAAGTTTTGGAATGATCTTCAAATTTGGATTAACACCCACTTCATGCAAAAAGTTAATTTGACAATTTTTTTGGTGTATTTTGGTTCCTTAAGTAAAATCCCATTACTTAATCATATAACAATTTTCAGCAAAAAGACATATTTATGTCTCTTCTTTGAAAAACAAAATTCCAAAATGCAATAACTTTATAAAGACTTTAAAAGATATTTTTTCTGTTGAAAGCTTCATTGCCAAAAGAAAGAATGAAATGAAGAAATTTGCAAATAAATGGCATCCATTATTCCCAGTATTTCAAACCTGACCTGTGTATGCAACAACCGCTTTTGTAAAATCTTGATCTTTATGTATTGATTAATTAGGTAACATATTTGTAGGTGCACTGATGTAACATTGGGAACATTTATTATAGGGCGGATATATGACGCAACATACAACACAATAAGTTGGATGTGGCGCAATATACAATACACATTGGATGTGACATAAGACGCAGCATGATATGTCAGATGTGGCACAATATACAACGTATGTTAGATAAGACATATACCCGGTATACAATATATGTCAGATAAGACACTATGTACAACAAGTGACGGACGTGACAATATACAACATCATGGTATACAACATGGTGTTGCGCTCTATATACAACATGATATGTGTTGGATGTGGCTCTAAGTACAACATGGTATGTTTGATGTGGTGGTATATACAACATAGATGTATGTATACAACATAGTATGTCTGAGGTGTATGCAAAATACAACACATGATATGTTGGTTGTGGTGCATTATACAATATGATAGATCAGATGTGATGCAATAGACAATGAGATACAAGGGATGTGATGCAATATACAGCATGATATGTCAGATGTGGTGCTTTAAACAATATGACATGTCGTATATGATGCTATATGCAACATGGCATGTCAGATGTAATGCTATAAAGCCTATATCAGGGCTCGATTTAGTACTTTGTTACTTGCACTGGTGCAACCCAATATTACAAAGTGCAATATAGCTATTAGCTGAACTTGCACCTGGTGCAACTCAATTTTTATGTGGGTAAACTCTCAATAAAACACCTAAATAATTCAATACCATATTTCTTACATTACATATTGCAATAAAAGCAGTGCAACTGGAATTTGGCTGGTGCAACTAGGTTTTTATCTTAGGTTGCACCTGGTGCAAGTAGGTTAACATCTCTCAAATCGAGCCCTGTATATACTTTATGATATGTTGGATATGATGCTGTATAAAGCATGATATCTCGGATGTTACGCTATGTACAACATATGTTGGATGTGACCCTATATACTATACGATATGTCTGATATGGCGCAATATACAACATTGTATCGGTATGCTTGGTGCTGTGCTATATACAGCATGATGTCGGAGGTGCTGCAATATACAATACGATATGTTGGATGTGATGCAATATACAGCAGGAAAGATCAGATGTGGCCCTATGTACAATATATGTTGGATATGGTGCTATATACAACATGATAGGTCGTTTGATATGTTATATACAATACGATATTTCGGATATGACACTTTATACAACTTATGTTGAATGTTCCGCAATATACAGCATATGTTGGATGTGACCCCATATACAATATGCTATGTCTGATATGACGCTATATACAACACTGTATGCTGCATGTTGCGCTATATAAAACATGATATGTTGGGTGTGGCACCACATACCAGACCCTATACAGGCTGATATTTCACTGGTCTAACTATGTTACATCCTGGTATGTTGGATGTCTGATTATGTTCATATATTTGTATATGTCATTATGTTATGACCGCCATCTATGATGGAAGACTTCGGTTTCATGAAAAATAAAATAAATTAAAAAAACCCAGTGTAGTGTGACTTGCTACACCAACGTGAGAGTCTTATGAGCAAGGCGTGTTCAGCTGCGCGCAGAATCAATTTCATCGTCATGCAATGCACGTGCACTAGCCTACATCTGCTCTACCTTTAACAATCCAAATGGGTTTGCTCATTGACGTGCACCGCCTACTTCTCGTAGAGACCGCCTCCGTGGTGTAGTGGTTAGAGCGTCCGCCCAGAGTGCGGAAGGTCGCGGGTTCGATCCCCGACCGCATCATACCAAAAGACGTTAAAATATGGTACTTGTTGGTCCCTGCCTGGCGCTCGGCATTAATGGGTACAACAAGGACTGGTCGGCTCGGAGTCAGTATAATGTGTCTGAGTGGGGTATTCATGCTTGACTGCGGCATGGTATCTCAGTGGGCTAGCACTATAAAACCAGCTTCAGTCTGGGCTAGTACAAGCAGCCACACATACACATACACACGAATACACGTCGTCATATGAGCAAAATATTCTCAAGCACGACGTTAAACCCAATTCCACCACCACCACTTCTCGTAGACGAGTTCTTTGCGCCGGCCGGGTCCAACTGATCCTTGTTTGCCAGTAATGTGCCATAATTCATGCAAGCTACCAGTGATGGGTTCAGCTCCTGGTGTGCAATGATTGTGATTCTTGATTTGCCTCCACCATACCTAGTGGGTATTGCTGAAGTTAGAAAGTCAGACACATGCATCATAACGTTATGAAATTATCCTCTCTGTTGTTTTTGTGGTGATGTTTACGATTACAATTGATTATTGATCCATGGCTGAGCTCTGATTATCGTTCTGTATATTATGAGGGATAATCAGCACAAGTGTGAAGATTGTAAACATTGTAGGTCATTCAGTGACTATCAATATTATATCGTGTACATGGATTAATTGTGGCATCTGTCGTGCACAGATATGTAGAGGGTTACTGCTTGTCTATTGATCCAGTACCGATGAGCTGACAGTGTCATGCTTCTTATGACCTTAGCCTTATGTCATACTGACAACTTATGTAATGTGGGACACTGATTGAAACTCATTCACTGATGTCTTTGTTTTCCAGTCACGATAAAGGAGCTGACTCTCCCAACTCAGATGACCAAGTACAGTTGTCAGGTAAGTAGTACATTGCCTCCATCCTTGTTGTCAGGCATCCCCTTCCAAGAAACTGTTATATGTAAGTCTAACGAAGGGGAGTTAGGTCATCTCAGCACTGAGACTAGATCGAGACCAAGGATGTTCAGTGATTTGTTCAGAGTCTGATGTGCAGCTCCATGTCTGCAGACAATGTCAGTGCAAATTATCAGATTTGATGCTGATAGTTATTTTGGGGTCAATCTTTGTGGATTGGCTTGAAAAAGAAGAGGCCTCAATCTGACACCATTTAGGGAATGCATTTTCGCATTGAAAATTTTGAATGCATTATTAAGATTCCATGTTCCAGTTTGGCAAATAAGAACTCTCAGTTCTGAATAAAATATTGCCCTTAAAGGTTATTTTGTTGGGAATCCCAGGTAATAAAATTCTGAACAAAAAGGATGTTTCCACATATGGTTGCCATCAACACTGATGAGCCATACCGAACCAAATCACAGTGACATCAGTTAGAGATGTTGGTCCTATGTAGTTTTTGTTCTGTATTGTTCTTGTTATGGAACAATGACTTAAATGAAATGCCAAAGCTAATTACACCGAATTTACATATCTTTAAATGACACACACTCTTACACACACAGTTATGTTTTTAACCAATAATTAATATGATATATCATAGCATGCGTGACAATAAACAGAACTCCATGTACAAAGGTTGGCATTAACTCTAGTAAAATATGGAGTTCTTCAGGGTGTTCCCTTCACCATAAGCTCTGGTGTAATGAGGAACACAAGCTACAGGTGTCAAGAAGAACACAAGAAGCAGATGTCATGGAGAACGTAAGAAACAGATGTCATGGAGAACACAAGAAGAAGATGTCATGGAGAACACAAGAAACAGGTGTCATGGAGAACACAAGAAACAGGTGTCATGGAGAACACAAGAAACAGGTTGCAAGAAGAACACAAGAAGCAGATGTCATGGAGAACGTAAGAAACAGATGTCATGGAGAACACAAGAAGCAGATGTCATGGAGAACACAAGAAACAGGTGTCATGGAGAACACAAGAAACAGGTGTCATGGAGAACACAAGAAACAGGTGTCATGGAGAACACAAGAAACTGGTGTCATGGAGAACACAAGAAACAGGTGTCATGGAGAACACAAGAAGCAGATGCCTTGGAGAACACAAGAAGCAGATGCCTTGGAGAACACAAGAAACTGGTGTCATGGAGAACACAAGAAACAGGTGTCGTGGAGAACACAAGAAACAGGTGTCATGGAGAACACAAGAAGCAGATGTCATGGAGAACACAAGAAGCAGATGTCATGGAGAACACAAGAAGCAGATGTCATGGAGAACACAAGAAGCAGGTGTCATGGAGAACACAAGAAGCAGGTGTCATGGAGAACACAAGAAACAGGTGTCATGGAGAACACAAGAAACAGGTGTCATGGAGAACACAAGAAACAGGTGTCATGGAGAACACAAGAAACAGGTGTCATGGAGAACACAAGAAACAGGTGTCATGGAGAACACAAGAAACAGGTGTCATGGAGAACACAAGAAGCAGATGCCTTGGAGAACACAAGAAGCAGATGTCATGGAGAACACAAGAAACAGGTGTCATGGAGAACACAAGAAACAGGTGTCATGGAGAACACAAGAAACAGGTGTCATGGAGAACACAAGAAGCAGATGCCTTGGAGAACACAAGAAGCAGATGTCATGGAGAACACAAGAAGCAGATGTCATGGATGTCAGAAGCAGGTGTCAGAACACAAGAAACAGGTGTCATGGAGAACACAAGAAACAGGTGTCATGGAGAACACAAGAAGCAGATGTCATGGAGAACACAAGAAACAGGTGTCATGGAGAACACAAGAAACAGGTGTCATGGAGAACACAAGAAACAGGTGTCATGGAGAACACAAGAAGCAGATGTCTTGGAGAACACAAGAAGCAGATGTCATGGAGAACACAAGAAGCAGATGTCATGGAGAACACAAGAAACAGGTGTCATGGAGACACACAAGAAGCAGGTGTCATGGAGAACACAAGAGGTGTCAGATGTCATGGAGAACACAAGAAACAGGTGTCATGGAGAACACAAGAAACAGGTGTCATGGAGAACACAAGAAGCAGATGTCATGGAGAACACAAGAAAGCAGATGTCATGGAGAACACAAGAAGCAGATGTCATGGAGAACACAAGAAACAGGTGTCATGGAGAACACAAGAAACAGGTGTCATGGAGAACACAAGAAGCAAATGTCATGGAGAACACAAGAAGCAGGTGTCATGGAGAACACAAGAAGCAGGTGTCATGGAGAACACAAGAAGCAGATGTCATGGAGAACACAAGAAGCAGGTGTCATGGAGAACACAAGAAGCAGGTGTCATGGAGAACACAAGAAACAGGTGTCATGGAGAACACAAGAAACAGGTGTCATGGAGAACACAAGAAACAGGTGTCATGGAGAACACAAGAAGCAGGTGTCATGGAGAACACAAGAAGCAGATGTCATGGAGAACACAAGAAGCAGATGTCATGGAGAACACAAGAAACAGATGTCATGGAGAACACAAGAAGCAGATGTCATGGAGAGATGTCATGGAGAAACAAGAAACAGGTGTCAAGAACACAAGAAACAGGTGTCATGGAGAACACAAGAAGCAGGTGTCATGGAGAACACAAGAAACAGGTGTCATGGAGAACACAAAGAACAGGTGTCATGGAGAACACAAGAAGCAGGTGTCATGGAGAACACATGTCAAGAACACAAGAAGCAGGTGTCATGGAGAACACAAGAAACAGGTGTCATGGAGAACACAAGAAACAGGTGTCATGGAGAACACAAGAAACAGGTGTCGTGGAGAACACAAGCTACATGTGTCATGGAGAACACAAGAAACAGGTGTCATGGAGAACACAAGAAGCAGATGTCATGGAGAACACAAGAAACAGATGTCATGGAGAACACAAGAAGCAGATGTCATGGAGAACACAAGAAACAGGTGTCATGGAGAACACAAGAAACAGGTGTCATGGAGAACACAAAGGTGTCATGGAGGAACACAAGAAACAGGTGTCATGGAGAACACAAGAAACAGGTGTCATGGAGAACACAAGAAGCAGATGTCATGGAGAACATAAGAAACAGATGACATGGAGAACACAAGTAGCAGATGTCATGGAGAACACAAGAAACAGGTGTCATGGAGAACACAAGAAACAGATGACATGGAGAACACAAGTAGCAGATGTCATGGAGAACACAAGAAACAGGTGTCATGGAGAACACAAGAAGCAGATGTCATGGAGAACACAAGAAGCAGATGTCATGGAGAACACAAGAAGCAGATGCCATAGAGAACACAAGAAACAGGTGTCATGGAGAACACAAGAAGCAGATGTCATGGAGAACATAAGAAACAGATGACATGGAGAACACAAGTAGCAGATGTCATGGAGAACACAAGAAACAGGTGTCATGGAGAACACAAGAAACAGATGACATGGAGAACACAAGTAGCAGATGTGATGGAGAACACAAGAAACAGGTGTCATGGAGAACACAAGAAGCAGATGTCATGGAGAACATAAGAAGCAGATGTCATGGAGAACACAAGCTACTGGTGTTGTGAAGAACACAAGCTACAGATGTTGTGAAGAACACAAGCTACTGGTGTTATGAAGAACACAAGCTACAGGTGTTATGAACAGGTGTTGTGAAGAACACAAGCTACAGTACAGGTGTTGTGAAGAACACAAGCTACAGTACATGTGTTGTGAAGAACACAAGCTACAGGTGTTGTGAAGAACACAAGCTACTGGTGTTCTGAAGAACACAAGCTACTGGTGTTGTGAAGAACACCAGAGCAGGTGTAATGAAGAACACCAGATCATATAGAGCTGTATGCTTGGGCTGAGCCAAATGATGTGTGACCTGGCTGATTCTCATAAATTGGTGATTATTAACCTTCTAGAGCCTCACAGGCAGTTTGGGTTATCTGAGGTAATATCCCTACCAAACTTTGTGATGCGCCATTGGACAGCTTTGAGTTGATACCAGGTGCCATATAAGTCTGCTTTGAATAAATGCCCAAATAAATATGTGTAAATATTTGGAGATTATACAATACATCTATGCTGAAGGGTTCCCTGACCCCACTTTTCCTGCCTTGGCCTAACGCTGATGGTGAGTTCAGGTGCTTCTGGCTATCATGGCAATCCTGTTTGTTTCAGTCATGAAAGAGCCGAGTAATTTGATTGGACAGCTAGTTCTGGTGCTATTATTCGACCTGGACGGACTACAGGGACAAATTGGTCCATGATATATATCAAAAACAAATAAAGATATGAAGCAACTCTTTTATCAAGTTTGCTGGAATAGCAACATGGCTTATGAAATAGTACTGCCTTGGGAGACAAATTGTATTGCACACATATCGGTACACATACCGTAACACAGCTTCGTCTTACTGTCACACCTTGTAATGGAATGGAGATATAAAACACTCTTTAATCATGGTTGTTGGAATAAGAGTGCGGATTGATTTCATTAATTATTTTGATTCCAACTTTTCAAGCCTATTTGTTTGTACTGAAGAAGACTCTTTGAATCAACACCATGAGTTTAATATGCATTGTCCACAGTTGATTTTGACTTGCGGTATTTGAAACCCGCTAAAAAGATTCTTTGTCCTCGAACTCCTTATTTAATGATCTAGGTATCCTGAGGTTAGTAGGGTTGGGTATTGCACAGAATTTTCATATTGCAATATATTGCGATGCAAAAGCATGTATTGCGATATGTATTGCAATATATTGCCTGAAGTATTTTTAAACAAAATACTACTTATAAGCGAGTTAATGCTTGATTTATAGAGCAAAAACACAACAAAATCACTATGCTTGAGTAAGCTTTAATAACAACTTTTAATCATGATAAAATAATGTGAAGAGTATTTGGCACAAATGAAACAAGGAAATATCCAAAGATTTCCGAGTGTTACGAAGTTTTCCGAACGCAAGTCAAAATACCGGTTTTCAACCAGCGTATCGCAATACGTATCGTTTTCATGTCTGAACCGGTAAATACCGGTAAACCGGTTATATTGCGCAGCCCTAAAGATTAGCCTCAACTGTTAACTAATACAGTATTTGAAATGGTTGATATTACACATCCTTGATATTCTCCAGGGTATACATTCCAATATATCTCCACTAGTACCCTGGATGCATATACGGCTCTGCTGATAATTGTATTACCTCCCTTTGCTGGCTTTTTATCCAAGCGGATGTCTACCTTGGGAAGTTGAGTGTACCAATCACAATGCTTCTGTCATAACTAACTTTCGCTTCTTTTATCTAACAGATTAAACTTGGCAACACATTTGTTGAAGAGGTATCCAGAAAGAGGTGGAAGGAGTTCTTGCATATATTTTTGGGCAGTGTGAATTTGTCAGAATGATTTTCCCCCTAAATCTGAGTCGCACTGCCAACAAATTTTCATGCCTGCGGCTGCCATCTTTGTTGACACTGGCAAGCTCGGCTGTAACGGCTTATCTGACTGGCTACTGTGAGATGGTGAAGCCAGCAAAGGGAGGTAATACAATTACCGGCCGAGACGTAGGTGCATCCAGGGTACCACTGGATGTTTGACCGCCTCCGTGGTGTAGTGGTTAGACCGTCCGCCCGGGAGAGCGGAAGGTCGCAGGTTCAATCCCCGGCCGTGTCATACCAAAAGACATTAAAATATGGTACTTGTTGGTCCCTGCCTGGCGCTCGGCATTAATGGGTACAACAAGGACTTGTTGGCTCGGAGTCAGTATAATGTGTCTGAGTGGGGTATTCATGCTTGACTGCGGCATGGTATCTCAGTGGGCTAGCACTCTAAAACCAGCTTAAGTCTGGGCTAGTACAAGCACGACGTTAAACCCAATTTCACCTCACCTCACCTCACTGGATGTTAATCAGAACATATACCCTGGAGATTATTGTGTAGGGATATTCCAAGACATTTTTTAAACTAAAGGACTAGCGACATTTCTGACCGTGTCTTACTTTTGGTGTAAGAATCCTATCAATTCCTTAAGTATGAACACTGAAAATTGAAACAGAGCTACAGTCGAGCACCGTTGTCTCGATATTCATGGGACCAAGAAAAAATATCGAGTTATCTGAACTTTGACTTGAGACATCCAACCAAGGCATATCATCACATATCACTATGAAACAAGTGACAGCTTCAACTCAATTACCCCTAATTAGTTTACACTACTGCATCCCTTTGATTCATGCCGCACTGTGTGTAAACGTTCAGAGTGATACTTGCCCATGAAAGGTAGTTGAATATCGGTTTCTTTGCAAATATCGAGTTAAAAGGGTAATTTTGCTTGTTGGGACCATGAAATTATATAGAGATATCCGAAATATCGAGACATCAGTATCGAGTTGAAAGAGCTTGAATAATGAAAAATTATAACTAATTTTGCCAGGACTGAGATGTTATATCGAGACAACCGAGATATCGAGTTATCAGAGTTCGACACAAAGGTGCTCGACTGTAGGTATTTGGAGAAAACAACTTGCCCTACAACCCTTTCTTGCACCCTGAAAAGTGATAGAGTGGGACACTGAAGTTCTAGTGAAGATTGGGTGTTGGTTGTAATTGCTAAATCCTCAAAAAGGTTTTCTAAATTTGTTTGTGTGTTTTGCAGGGGAAACAACAGAGGAACAGGCGGCAGCTATTGCCAGTGTGGCAGCCAATCAGGGCACTCTGACCCTTGACCCCAATGTACAGTATCAGTTCCGTGCCGACAACACACAAGGTTCATATCATTCTTCACAAAATATCTACATTATTTGAAACAGTAGTGGGAGTGGTGAGGTAGCCGAGGGGTTAAAGCGTTTCGCTCGTCATGCTGAAGACCTGGGTTCGATTCCTCACATGGGTACAGTGTGTGAAGCCCATTTCTGGTGTCCCCTACCGTGATATTGCTGGAATATTGCTTAAAACGGTGTAAAACTAAACTCACTCACTCATGAAACAGTAATGTAAGCAGCTTGTCTCTAGCAGCTTGTACTTGTAAGAAGCGGTGTTATGGAATAAGTGGTCGGGCACGGTGACTTCGTTGTTTGCATGTCAACCTATGCAATCCTGTTGTACATTTGTTTGTAATATCTGCCTCTGCTTTATCTGGTCCAGATTTAATTGCTTACTGGTCGCGACCATATTGCTGGAATATATCAGAAAGTGTTGTAACACAAAGAGGAACAGGAACTAACTTTTGGTTGCTTTGCCTGTCTTATTTGCTTTCTTTTTGTATTTTGGCTTTAGAAATATGCTTCCTTTACAATATCTTTAGTCGTTCTGGCTTGCAGACACACTGATGTATCGTTGAGACTGTGGTAGATGGTGTGGGGGAAATGTTTACAGACTTGACGTCTAGAAGTTCTATAAGGTCACTTATCATGATGAGATGTGAGGACTAGTTGTAATGACAAGTTGTTTTCTCCCAACAAGTAGTTTTACAGATTGTGGACTTGTTTTGCCTTGCACATATTGTTTTACTGATTTCATAAGTTGTAATAGGTACAGCCTTGTTCTTTCTTCTCTGTAATTTATAGTGTAAAATGTATTGGTTTCATTAAAGTTGCAAAACATATCTTGATCAACAACGAGATTATGACTGACGATAGGATAGAAATTATTCTGAAACAGAATCTGGGTAATTTGCTGAGACTTCTACATGTCACTTGAACCCAGTCTAAGCCCCAGCGACCTATGAACGTCCAATCAAACGTGAGACGGCTGAGTGGATTTAACCAATCACACAACAGCTACTAGTTGGGGTTCGGCGGGACTTTTTCAGCATTTTCTCTTGCCCGGTCGCTGACACTGATATCTCAACAAATTAAAATCACCATAAAACACAGATATTTTACCTGCAGTATACGCTTTGGGGTTTCCGATGACATGGTTACTGTGTTAGCTAATATTTCCACAAGATGACACCCTGGAATATTGACAAAAACACTATTTTCAGCGAATGTTTACTCACTGTTGTGAATAAAGGCATTCTACATGTGTGTCACTCGGAAGCGAACGTGCGGAAAATAGCATTTGGAATCGTTCGAGTACAACCATTTTCGAGGTAAAAGTTCAAACGGAATGTGTGAACGTTAACTTTCGCGATTTGGTAAGCTGTATATGAATGGGGATGTGACACACAGGGCCTCAGAAATGTTTTGGAATTTTTAATACAGGACAAGTGCCAACTTGTTTCACGACTCCTGAGTTTTTTAGCCAGTCTTGCTTGTAGAACAAGACAAATATATTTGCATTTTCTGTCAGTCTGTTCCAGTTTGTAACAAAATTGACACTTTGAAAACTGGTTGAGAATTATGGTCCTAAAACACTACTAGTCAATGAAAACTGACATTTTTCATATGTAGTAGTTTAGAGGGTTTTCGAAACCGATTCTTGTCTTGAAACAGAAAGATTTGTGTTATGTTTTTGGCATTTGCTGTGCACTTGCCAAGGTCATTCTAATGAGTGGAACAGATCTGAATCTTGCAGGTCAGGTCACGTATCGGGTCGTGCAGGTGTCCCAAGATGGCCAGGAGGCCACAGCGCAGGTCGTCACTACTTCAGCATTTCCAACATCACAGGTGGCACAGGTGAGATACTTTACCATGGTAACTGAACTCAGGTGAGATATATTACTATGATAAAAGGACACTGGTGAGGTATATTACCATGGTCACAGGAAACTGGTGAGATACATTACCATTGTAGTAGGATACTGGTGAGATATATTCCCATGGTAAGGGGACACTGGTGAGATATATTACCATGGTAACAGGACACTGGCGAAGTATATTAACATAGTAGTAGGACACTGGTGAGATATATTACCATGGTAACAGGACACTGGCGAAGTATATTAACATAGTAGTAGGACACTGGTGAGATACATTACCATGGTAACAGGACACTGGTGAAGTATATTAACATAGTAGTAGGACACTGGTGAGATATGACAATGGTAATAAGACACAGGTGAGATAAATTATGATAATTCCCAGTAGTACATGGTCCATCACAGGAGTTGACCTGTTTCATTACAGACAGGAGTATTGTCAACCATGCTATTATTGCGTTAAGCAAGAAATGCTGCATATACCGTATATCGCCATTGCTCCATGTTGATTTCCAACTGGAAACTAAAAATTTAAGTGGGAATGATCCATAAAAAAACTTGGTGTGAGACCAACTAACAACAAGGCTATGTGATTTTATTAACAATTGTAATATTGAGTTTCGTAAATTCACAAATCAATACAAATCAGTACAACTATGGCAGTACATAGTTGTGTGTCAGTAAACAGTAAACATGCACGGGTAATAGAATACCCGTCTAGATGTCTCCGGTCCAGTGACCGCCTCCGTGGTGTAGTGGTTAGAGCGTCCGCCCGGAGAGCGGAAGGTCGTGGGTTCGATCCCCGACCGCGTCATACCAAAAGACGTTAAAATTTGGTACTTGTTGGTCCCTGCCTGGAGCTCGGCATTAATGGGTACAACAAGGACTGGTCGGCTCGGAGTCAGTATAATGTGTCTGAGTAGGGTATTCATCTTCACTGCGGCATGGTATCTCAGTGGGCTAGCACTATAAAACCAGCTTCAGTCTGGGCTAATACAAGCAGCCGCACATACACACACATGCATGTCGTCATATGAGCGAAATATTCTCAAGTACGACATTAAACCCAATATCACCTAACCTCACCTCCGGTCCAGTTCACAGCAACTCCTTGACATTCCCAGATTTCAGCTGAAAACATTCGGAGGCAGATCTTTCAGTGTGACAGCAGCTGTCAAATGGAATCAGCTCCCTGACTCTTTAAAAAACTCTGACTCTCTTCCATCATTCAAAGCCCTCCTGAAGACCTATCTGTTCAACAACTATCTCTGACTCTGGACTTTCTTTGCTAAAGCGCTTTGAGCGTGTATTGATGTGTGGAAAAGCGCTATACAAATGGAATTATTATTATTATTATTATTATTGTTATTATTATTACAAGAGCAATGATTATAGCAATAAGACAATGATGGTGATATTCACCACTCACCAACAGTAATCCAAGTCACAAAATAGGCCTTGGCAGAGTATCGAGAGTATAATGAACATCACACACAATCCTGGCCCCGATTTCTCGAAACAAACTTAAGTTTTTACTCAAATTTCAAACTGAGTTTGACAATTTGAAACAACTGAATTTTTAACTCAACTGCATTTTTTAAATAAAAAAAAGCCCGAACAACTTAAGTAATCTATCCACCAAACCCAAATTGTCTACTAAGTTTGAGTTTAATATTGATTTCAGTTTATTCTGGGAAATGCATTTTCCTGCATTTTTTCAAATTTGAGTAAAAACTCAGACTTAAGTTTGTTTCAAGAAATCGGGGCCTGGTGTCTTGCAACTTGAGATATGATGTAAGATGCGAGGCAGGATTTTCTCCCCTTGTATGCCTAAGAAACAGCTAACAGATTTTTCTATAATGTTCTCTGTATCAGAGGAGGGTTGTAGTACATTCCAGAACTCTGAATAGCACAATGAACAACACTGCCACAAACCACCATCTATGATGTGACCACATGTATTGTATAGATACCCCTCCCCCTATATAAACCTTCGAAGTTGATGCTGATTTATATACCCGGTCTATAATGTGACTCTGAATGAAGCGTTAGTGCTAACAAGATCCCAATATTAGCAGTAAAAACATGGTTTCTGGTTTGAATTTTGTACGTTGCTTGGTTGAAGATCCAGGTTAGAATTAGTCTTCAGCAACCCATGGTTAGCATAAGAGGCTCTAACAGGATCTGGTGGTCAGACTCGCTGACTTGGTTGACACATTGGATTGGTACATATTTTAGAAAATCAAACGAAAATATATAAAAATTGGTTGACTTTGTGTGTAGCAATTTTGTCTTCTAATTCTTGAAATCAACACTGGCTGTTGAAATATAGATGTGCTGAAATTGTATAGATGTCAGGTTATTGTCGTGATTATAGCCAAGTTTGATTGTACACTCGCCTCAATAATTTCCAACGTGGAACCCTTGGAGAGCTGGTGTGGAATTAGTCTACAGCAACCCTTGCTTGTTGTAAGATGTGACTAACGGGATCGAGTGGTCAGGCTCACTGATTTGGTTGAGACTTTTCATCACATCCCAATTGCGTAGATCGATGCTCCTGTTGCTGATCACTGGATTGTCTGGTCCAGACTGGGTTATTTACAGACCGCCGCCATAGAGCTGGAATAATGCTGAGTGAGGCGCTAAACAACAAACCGACCGACCAGATGAGCCAACCAAACCAACTATGAGCGTTCTTGTAAACAGCACGTTTGACAATAGCCTTTTCTCAACATGTATTGCTGATTGTTGTAGACTGTCATACAGAGCCCTTTCAATGGAGGGAGCCCGACGCCAGACAATCAGGAGGCAAGGTTTGCATACTTTGCAGGATCGGGGGAACCAGTGAATGCCGTCAGCACACAAGGGGATGCTGTTGCTGGGGCAACAGCTATTGGACCAGTGTCAGCAGCTGGAGGTATGGACAGTGTTATCCTGACTCACTGTAGACAGTGACATTTTTTGTTTACAAACAAAAGGGTCAACGAGTTCATTGTATTCATGCGTGGTATATGTGCCTGTTGGTATCCATCGATAGATGTATAGAACATCATGCCAGTGCATTTTAACCTCAGGAAGATGTCATGTTAGGAGAGAAGCATTTTGAACTCATTTCTCTAGTTCTGTGAGTTTCCAATTTGTACCCATGTGGGGAATATAAGCTTGGTCTTCGGGGTGAACGCTTTAACCACTGGGCTACCCCACTGATCATCGAGTACTTTGACATGTTCTCAAATGCACTAATGTGATATATATATTTATTACATACCTGTTAAGCAACACAGACTGTTTTAATCTAATTCAAAACATCATAGATGAAACTTTGGGTTTGAGGCTGCTGAGGTTACTTGTACCAGGTTCTGATCACAAAAGAAACAAAACAATAATATTCTACACAAAACAGTGGGAAAAGGGCAAGGGAGGTAACTCGTGGGTGAGTATTTATACGTCCGCTTCGGGAACTTCAAGGGATTCAAGTGTTCCACTACCATTCGAAAGGGAAAGGGAGATAAGCAAAAGATCATGAGTCAGGATAAGTATAAAATATCAATTTTACTTAAAAAATTATATAATTAATATAGGCTTACCCATTACCTAAATAACGTCTAAATGTACATGTTTATGGAGTACATCCAGCAGCAGTGCAGTATAGACATCAAAGTGCAATATGGAATTGATGTATGCTTGCCGTATTGGATGGCTGTATTTTTATCATAAGATAATTGGGTGTGTAATAAGCTTTCATTCAACTTGCTTCTGCCCTCAAGCTTGAAGTAGATAACTGTCACCATAAAATGTAGGTCACATTAAACCACTTATACCCCAAGTGGTGCTGCTGAAGTGAATTAGGGGACATGTTTCAATCTGACGTTTTAAAGAATTTAAACAAATTGAAAATTGATTGAAGACAGCTGTTAGATTGAGTTGAGGTTAACTTACCCTGTGTCAAATTGACATTTATTGATTCTTGAACTCTGGGCATCTTATTTCTTTGTGAAATGTAACATAATGCCCCCTATATTTTTATATTTTAGAAAATAAATCGAAAATATATAAAAATTGGTTGACTTTGTGTGAAGCAATTTTGTCTTCTAATTCTTGAGGGGCGGTGGGGTAGCCTAATGGTTAAAGCGTTGGCTCGTCACGCCGAATACCCGGGTTCGAATCCCCACATGGGTACAATGTGTGAAGCCCATTTCTGGTGTCCCCCTCCGTGATGTTGCTGGAATATTTCTAAAAGCGGCGTAAAACCAAACTCAGTCTGTCAGTCAGTCTAATTCTTGAAATCAACACTGGCTGTTGAAATATAGATGTGCTGGAATTGTATAGATGTCAGGTTATTGTCATGATTTTAGCCAATTTTGATTGTACACTCGCCTCTATAATTTCCAATGGGGAACCCTTGAAGAGCTGGTGTGGAATTCGTCTACAGCAACCCTTGCTTGTTGTAAGATGTGACTAATGGGATCGAGTGGTCAGGCTCACTGACTTGGTTGAGACATGTCATCACATCCCAATTACGTAGATCGATGCTCCTGTTGCTGATCACTGGATTGTCTGGTCCAGACAGGGTTATTTACAGACCGCCGCCATAGAGCTGGAATATTGCTGAGTGCGGCGCTAAACAACATGTCAAAACAAATCCAACATGGGAAGTATTGTTTGGATATCTTGGCTGGCAATCATTCTTTGTCCTGGAAAATTAACAGCTATCAACCCTGCCACTACTTTGAAGTATTGGGGCGGTGGGGTAGCCTAGTCGCCAAAGACCCGGGTTCAATTCCCCACATGGGTACAATTTGTGAAGCCCGTTTCTGGTGTCCTCTGCCGTGATGTTGCTGGAATATTGCTAAAAGCGGCGTAAAACTAAACTAACTCACTCACTCACTCTTTGAAGTATATTATGAACATATTGACATGTTGAGAAGTTGAGAACTGAGATGGCTTTGGACAAGTGGTGTACAACTTGTTGTTAGTCCCATGGTCTACAACTAAGATGTGTAGTGATGAGGTTGTATTTGCATCAGCAGCTGGCCAGTTCTACGTGATGATGTCCCCTCAGGATGTGCTACAGGGGCAGCGGAACATCACCCCCCGAACAACCTTCAGCCCTAAGATGGAAGGCCGGTCAACACGTGATGACCGCAGGAGGGCCACTCATAATGAGGGTAAGACTCACGTAATTGGTAAATGAATCATCTCCTTACGGGTGTGCGGCATTGTCCATATACTGGTAATTGAGGTTCATTCTTTCCCTGATGAAGTCTATGAAATAAGTAAAAACCCAGCCAGACATCAGGGCTGGTAACTTCAAAACATTACAAGCCCAAAATGCATTTAACCAAACCAGACCAGACACCAAGATATATTGAATTTACTCAGATAAATGGAACATATAACATCAGGGGTGGAAATAACCCATTGCCTGACATCCCAGTCCAGTGTTTTTTTCTGTCAGGCAAGCACATTTGTCTTTTCCGGAGCAGAACTCTAAAACCGTTAAATGTTTCTTCACTAAACTTGGCACATACATAGATCTGGTGGTGTACTGGTGCCTTTTGGTAGTTTTGGATTTCTGAATAAAATATTTTTGGCATTTCCATGGCAACAAGTTTGACATAGACTGAAATTGGTTTTAGTGCTCCTTTCTGGAGCAGAACTTTAAAAACCTTTCAATACTCTCCTTCCACTTTTCTATATACACACCTAACTATTTGACATAATCATAACTCATAGACATAATCATGAAGAGTATTTTGACATTGCGGGGGATATTGATGACTTTGTCTTCTTGTTGTCCTAGGCAACCCTGAGTCCCTGCTTTGTAAATTGAATTAAATACCACTAACACAGCCCGCCATTTGGTGATCAATTGAAAATTAAAATAAATAGCCTGCTTAGCACGTATTAAATTACTGTTTCAGTTGAACGACGTCGCAGGGACAAGATTAACAACTGGATAGTTCAACTGTCGAAGCAGGTCCCTGACTGTGCCCAGGAACACACCAAGTCAGGCCAAGTGTCAGCAAGTGTATGTACTTTACCTTCTCACGCAGTCGGGCACATGGGTGCTAGTGGTTTAACAATCGTGGCCCTCCATAAATATAACAGCTGTATTGCAATACATATAGAATACAGGTCACAAATCAGTTGAAGTTAAGCAACGTTGAGCGAGTTCTTGGATGGTTGACCGTGTTTGGCAGCTTGACTCCTGAGAGTTTCTTGGACTCTGCCCCACAATGAAGCACATGTGATACATGTGGTCTCACCTTAGGGAATTGAGTTTGTTCAAAATTGCCTCTGTTCACCCAGCAGAAAATGGGTACCCGGTGGGATAAGTCATGTACGTATTACCATCTAGGAGCTTGGGTTATCCAAGGTAATGATAATCAGATTGTGATTGTCAGCGCTTTGAGCATTGTCCTTGTGTGGTGGAAGTCAGTGCTATACAGATACTCTGATTATTATTGTTGTTATTATTATTAAGTTTATAACAGATTCCCTACTATTTTCAACTGACTGTAAGTAGCAGAATCTTGTTAGTGCCCCCAGGCTTGTATCCTATGTAGGATAAGAATCGCATCTCATCCCTAATATCAGGGGGCTATCTTACGTTGGCCTCATCATGTAGTTACACCTCCAGTAAACAGTTTGTTACTTCCTGACATGAGATTGACATTCAAGTGACATAACTGTAAGAGTTTGTGAACTTCACTGCAGTGTTTGAATATATTCAGAGTCAGCATGTCGAAGACTTCTAAAATCAAGAACTAGTAACTTTTTCTTTTGGACTACCACTTTTTCTTTACATAGATGTCTACTATGTAACAGGTAAAGTTTTCGAACATTTTCACAATTTACTTCACATTTAAAAAAAATTTCAGACATTCAGCGACACTAATGTCTGTGGGTTCATAAGACCCTTCTTTGTATCTTTGTAGTAAACATTTACTCCCATAATATTCATTACCCAGTGAACAACTTCATTCTGGCGTGCCCCATAGCAAGGGAAGGTGATAAACTGTTATTATCCCCCGTCGCGCGTTTAGCTCGAAGTGGGGGATATAGTATTAGGCTCCGTCCGTCTGTACAAATTGGAATATCTTAAGAACCGTTGACTAGATTCTTTTCATATTTGGTACCTAGATTCATCACAGTATAAGAAAGGTCCAAGTCAGGTTTGGTGCCTTGACCTTAATTTCAAGGTCACAAGGGGAATTTAACGTTTTACCTGCATGTTAAGTTATCTCAAGAACCGTTCACTGGTTTTGGTGACGTTCACATAATTTTCAAGGTCATGGCGACACTTTGAATTAAGTTACCGTTCCCTGGATTTTCTTCATATTCAACACCAAGCTTTATCTACGGAGGTGCAGGGCCCAGTCAATTTTGGTGACCTTCACATAATTTTCAAGGTCACAGAGACACTTTCAGCGAATTAACCTGAATTGTCAACAAGATATTCAAGAACGGTTCACTGGATTTTCTTCATAGACTTTCAAGACTTGAATGTTTTTCAATAAGCAATTTCTATAGTACTATTTTTGCATATTTCCTACACTATGACATTCATGTCAAGTCAGTCTTGAAAATATGTGTGTTTAAACAACTTAAGAGCAAGATATCAAGAGAGGTTGACTGGTCATGTTTTTGTTGACATTTAACTTCATCTTAAACTTTCATTACTTTATAAGATTGATTTGATAATTTGTTGCGGGGGATTATGTCACCTTAGTGACAATGCTTTATGACTATACAGACACAATCATTTTCTGATGTTGATATCTATTGGTTTCAGAGCAAGGGAGGAATCCTAGCCAAGGCATGTGATTATATACAGGAGCTCCGCTCAGGCAATCAGAGAATGGCGGAGAGTTTAAAAGAAACTGATAGAATAACTATAGATAATGAACTACTTCGACAACAGTGCGAGGAGCTTAAACAGGAAAATCATTTACTACGTACACAGCTTCAGCAGCACGGGATTGTGCCTCAAGATTTGGCTGGGAACCCGACATAGGCACTTGTCATGTGCTTGTTATTTGTTGTTGTTCATGGTGGTCCAAAACTGTACAAACTTCGGTGATGATGTCACCAGTTCTGTGTGTGTATATAAGTGATCGACAATATGACAGAAAACTGACTGCGTGAAACAGACAAACAAATCAGATGAGTTTTTCTGAATCTTAATTTTGGGAAATCCATCTCATATATTTATTTTTGTGGTTTTTAGAAATGGAATCGTCTGGTGTTACAATGTTCAGTCAAGGGATGATTTGTGTGCTATGAAAAAGTTGCAATCATGCATTTTCTGCCCCATCGTGGTCACGTGACTGAGGACACACTGAAGGAGAACGTGACTGTGAACGTAATCGTCAAGTGACCTACATATATGTTTGTTCCAACAGTTCCTTATGTCATGGTTGCATCTCAGCAAAGATACAAAGTCTACATCCATCATAATGGTTGTGGAGACAGAAAAACCGTCTGCTACAGAAGGGAGCTATTCTTTTGCCATAGCATGTCCTGTTTTGCGTGATCAGCAGTCGTTACAATCAGAGAATTTTCATGGACCAGGACATGGCTGAAGACAACTTAGGCTGATGCACTTCCAGATGGAATAGATTCCCAAGCATCTCTTCGTCAGATGTGAAATTTGTTATTTGCACTGTAATATTCATTACTATCCCTGGGGATTATTGTTGATTTCATTCAACAATTAGGGCTGGATATCAATATATATCATAGAGATTGATAATCTTTAAGTAGTTAATGATGTACAGGGGTTCAAAAATCCCATTGCCCGACGCCCGGGACAAGTCAGTTTTCATTTCGGGCAATCAAATAATGGTATCTTACTTGTCCGTGGGCTACTAGATAATTTCGACTTATGGTTTCAAACTGCAAATAAACTTTGATTTAATTTCATATCTGCTCAAAACGTAGCTATTAAATTTCGCAATGATAATAAAGTAGAGTCATCTTTCTTTGCTATTTATCACTTTTCAATAAATAGTCCAGTAAACATTAACATCAAATACGATGTTGATTTCTTCTTTCATAATTACATCATCATAATTATGTCATAAAATCAGGGCAAGTGGATAATTAGTCAGGACAAGTTACTTTCTTAAAGTCACTTGCCCTGTGGCAAGTGGCTTTTTAAAAAAAATTTGAACCCCTGAATGTATGATCAAAAAGATATTTGTGAAGTAACTATGAGCTAAACTGAAAAGAAGTCTGAAAGAAATCAAGCTATTCACATCACAGGTGAGTGATGACACATTTATGCGCGATTACTTTCAGGTGTAAGGGAGTACTGTATTCAGTATGTCAGTTTTGATTGACATGTGTCTTCTGTCTACGGCACATGTCTTTTTTTGGTTAATTAAAGCATAATCATTAATAATTCTTTCATTAATGATATTTCAGATTATCAATCTATTTACCCAGCCCAAGTAACAATATTTATTGGTTGTATTTAAATAATTGTGTCTGGAGCCAACTTTCTGCCCATCGGTCTGTGTCAGCAACACTGGTAGAAGCATTCATAAAATCTGTTTAACATACCAAAATGAACTTTTTCGTATTCTGGAGGGTCAGGGTGAAGTTTGGTCTGAGATTTTCATCAGTAATGAAGACAGGTTTGATAGGAACAAACAAGATTCTTCATTTTGTTTGGTCACTTTCAGTCTTCACCTGGAATTCCATGTTGTCTGTCACTAAGTGTTGGTAGGTTGTACGATCGGGACATTATTGATTTGGTGGGGAGCATTAAGGGACCGTTCATAATTTATGGCTAGGGGTGGTGATGATGATTTTTATGGTGAAGCATGTACAATGTGAATGACCCCCCTTAAAATTTATGTACAAAATATGTGACAAATTCCCTCCCTCTTTCCCCTTGCATGTCATGTACAAAATCAATGACCCCCTCCCTTCCCATAATTTCTAAGCATAATTTTTAAATGTTAATATGTACAAAATTTCTGGTCCCCTAGTACATGTGTACAAAATTGATGACTCCCCAGAATAAAATGGGTGACACCCCCACCCCCACCCCTGTTTAGTGTCGATTCTCAAGCCGAAACTAATATAGTAGTAACTCAATCCATAAAAGAACTTGTATACCAACAATCAACAAAGCAGTCTGTTTAAATGAACGACTGTATTCTAAAGTGAACTAAGTTTACAATTTGATACAGATCAATGCAGGGTTACTGTGGCTGTACAAAATCAGAGCTGGTGTAATACACAAGCAGTGGTTATACCAATAAGGACCATGTTGAACGGGCAAGGCTGAATATCCAAGGTATGAATGATTTTTTCACAATAGCTGCTCTTTGAGATGTACTGTCAGATGAAAGGCAAGAGTTAAATCCTGGCATATGCCCGAGAAAAGATTCTCCAACTGCAGGTCAGAATAGACGGGTCCTAGTCAAAAGGGCCGCATGACAAAAGGGCCCCAAAACGGAAAAGTCAAAAGGGCCGCAAGAAAGTCAAAATGGCTGCAAACCCCCAGTCAAAAGGGCCACATCAAAAAGTCAAAAGGGCCTCAGACCCCTAGTCAAAAGGGCCCCATATATACATCTATACAATGTATACTTGATACATACTACTTCAGTTTTTAATAAGATATTTTATCAATATTTGAAAGAAAATGCAGACAAAGAATAGATGTATGTGATGGTTATTTATTTCATCTGATGTTTCCAAAGATGTTATTATTTTTTTATATGGGGCTCTTTTGAGGCCCTTTTGACTTTTTGATGCGGCCCTTTTGACTAGGGTTTTGCGGCCCTTTTGACTGGGGGTTTGTGGCCCTTTTGACTAGGGGTTTGTGGCCCTTTTGACTTTCTTGCGGCCCTTTTGTCATGCGGCCCTTTTGACCTGTTCCCAGAATAGACCATAGTGTTGTAGTACTCTGTACCTTCCAGATCTCTGTCTAAATATAGGACAAGTCTAAATATAGCCCACCACTGCCATTCTGTGACTATCCACAAGTACAATGTTACACACTGGGAGGGGCGGTGGGGTAGCCTAGTGGTTAAAGCATTAGCTCGTCAAGCCGAAGACCCTGGTTTGATTCCCCACATGGGTAAAATGAGTGAAGCCCATTTCTGGTGTCCCCCTGCCGTGATATGGCTGGAATATTGCTAAAAGTGGCGTAAAACCATACTCACTACACACTTGGGGGCGGTTGGGTAGCCTAATGGTTAAAGCGTTGGCTCGTCACGCCGAAGACCCGGGTTCGAATCCCCACATGGGTACAATGTGTGAAGCCCTTTTCTGGTGTTCCCCGCCGTGATGTTGCTGGAATATTGCTAAAAGCGGCGTAAAACCAAAACTCAGTCAGTCAGTCAGTCACTACACACTTGGAATATTGATCACAATGAATATCACTGCCACATAGCAGTATGCACAATTTCTCCATTATCTGTGAATACAAGAGGCAATAGCTGAGTAGTAAAATGTACCTAATTTGTTAAATATGCTATTTTTGACTTGTAGAAGTCACACAAGACCTACTCTGTACATAATCTTTTTATATTAAACCTTCTGTTGCTGTATGTTCAAGCAATGAGTAGAATGCCTTGCTACAAAGCTGTTGCACATGCTGCATGCTGCAAGTAGATGGTCAAAAATATTTTACGTTGTTACCTTTGGTATTGACACTTATTCTGTCATTAGACTTTAATTCAGTCAACTCGGTTGACGGTGGTCCTTTTTTTTTTAAACACTGAAATTTACTCAACATATACACATCTGATGCTGAGACCGGGGTGCCTTGTTTAAAAATAGCAGCTTTAGTGTGTTTTGTGTGCATGTATTCGCAGGTTCTGGAGGAAGACAGTGTGTACAAAACCTTGCACCAAAAAAAAAAACCCCATGGTTTTGTTTCTCTTTACACAAGACAGATGAGTACTTATTCCATTTTAAGAATGCCCTGAACTGTATCATAGGATTGGACGATGATGATGTGTGTAGTTTGCACAATGTATTTAAGACATCTTTAAGTAAATACAATGTATTTAAGACATCTTTAAGTAAATACGACACACTTCATGCTTATAAGGATATTTTGTATCATCTCTTTTCTTAATAGATGATGGTTCTTCAAAGGGAACTTGATTTGTTACAACAACTTCATAACCTTGTGTATTTTGGTGAAACAATGGGATATTTTATAGACTTTCTTTTCATCTTTAATACAATGGATTTTATTCTTTTATGGTTCATTTTTGTGGTATGTGGAGTTCTGAATGTTAAGAATAACAGTGTTGTAAGCTGAGGGAGCCATGTTTTATTTTGGGAATTGTACGATACACCAGTGCCCCAGTTGCCTTAAGCACCAATATTTTATTTGCAGTGTTGCCTCCCTTAGCTTGTCAGGAACCTGGGTTGGTATCTGGGTTCGACGTGATTATGTGTTCAGGTTTGTCAGCCCCACACCTGAGCTCATTGGTTGCTCTGAAATAGTAAATGTCCAACACTCGCTACTATCAGGGAATCGTTGTTTTTAATGTGTTTCATGTAGCCACCAAATTCTGAACATGGGTTGGTCGGTCTGGGGGAAAAAAATAGTAATAAAGACAAAATTATCTGAATAATGTTCTTGATTATCATTTGTTGTAATTTTTATTACAATTTCTCGCATTCTTTGGACTTAAGGCAGCGACTGATTAACATAAACATTTTATATGATGAGGCAGTATGTTTTAGGTTCCAGTCGGCGGTGTTGGAATGGGGAAAAAAAGTTTGGGAGGAGGGGCAATAAATTTAGTATGGTCTGTCGGGTGATGAGAAACACCCACAAAAAAAATGCTGCCCTCACTACTGAATCCTTGAGTGAAGGTATTTTGCACCCACTGTGGGACCCACATAAAGCCAACATGCCCAGTTGTAGCAGGAATGCTTTTTTGAAAGGGCATTACATCAAATGGACTCCAGGGCTAGATTTTCAAATCTCTGTTAGCACTAAGATAGTAATAAGTGTCATACATTGACATTACCTTACGACTATCTTAGGTATAAGAGAGCATCGAAATTCTAGACCCAGTACTACAGGGATGATATGAAAAACCTTGTGACTTTTCTCTTCCATGTTCTTACAAATATGTGTTTTTGTCACAGTGAGTGTTTAGGGATATGTTTAGTTGTCTTCCCACGTGACAGAATTGTCTTCATCAGAATGGTCAGGTTTTGTATCTTCATCCATCTGCAGTTGTAGTCTGTATCCCAAATGATGACACAGTCTGCCGGGAGACTGTGATTGAGATTTGTCAGCAGGTGCTAATGTCTCACCAAAGTGGTAAGCTCCCACGACCTGCATCCAGTCAGGCTTCCCTCCTACTTTAAACTTTCATGCCATTATGAACCATAAATATGTTTGAAAGTAGTGTTTATCCAGTCTACCCACCTAGGTTCTGTTATCTAGTTTTTGTGAATCACTAATGAATCCCATCCTCGATAATCTCCAGGGTATACGTTACAATCACTCTCCACTATACCCTGGATGCATCCAAGGGTTGGGCCGATAATAATATTACCTCCCTTTGCTGGCTCCGCATTCTCACAGTTGCCAATCAGCTAAGCCGCCGTTACATTCCAGCTTGCCAGTGTCAACAAAGATAGCGGTCGCAGTTGCGAAGATTTATTTGTTCACAGTGCCACTCAGATTTTTGAGGAAATCATACAGACAAATTGACAGATCTGAAACTTTCAAAAAATATATAAAAGAACTCCTTCTACCTCTTTCACAGTACCTCTGCATCAATTGTGTTGCCACGTTAAACGGTTAGATAATTTTAGAACCGAAAGTGAGTTATGATTAGTTTGCTCAACTTCCCAGCGTAGACACCTGATTGGATAAAAAGCCAGCCAAGGGAGGTAATAAAATCATCGGGCCAAGCCGTGGATGCATCCAGGGTATAGTGGAGAGTGATCGTAACGTATACCCTGGAGATTATCGAGGATGTAATGAATCCTTGAATCAAGGGATTTTGCATCCAGTAGTTCGTGATCAGTGTAGACATCAATATTGAAATGGAGGGCAAGCTTGGAGTTGCTCAGATACCAACTTATGCTCCCAAGTAAATATCAGTTAATAATTTGCAAATTCAATTACAAACATACTCAAATCCAGTTATGGCCTAGCAGAATCAATTTGTGTCACTGGCAAATAGAAGAGGCCTCAACACTTGTCCACTCCAATGCAAAGGTGAAATTAAAATTTAAACATGTAAAAACTTCATGTAAAATACAAAGAAACCAACTTTTACTCCTAATTTGTCTGACAAGGGCTCTTAAATTGGAATTTGAAATAGGTTCCATAATTCACATAATTAAGAAGTTGCCAGATTATGATCCTAAGTTTGGTGGTCTTTGAGGTGTTTTCACTATCCACCACATGTACATATTTCACAGATGTATGGACAGGAAACCGACTAATCATTTCAGCCCACAACACGTTTTTAATCAGCCTGTTTGTCCAGTGTACCTGTGATTTTATGTACATTTACAGAATATTTGTCCCAAGCCTTTTTGTGACAAGATTATTTTTGTTTTTTGAAATGTTTTTGATAGCTCAAATTCATCTCCAGAATCATATGGGGTCAGCCTAATGAAAGTTGATAAGAAAAAAAGAGGTACATGAATATTAAATAGCGTTTAAGTTAGAAAACTATGAGGGTGTTTGTACATATCAAACTTATGACAATCTGTCTCACAACTATAGCAAAATGTTGAGAAAATGTTTACTTCATAACCATATGTCCACTATTAAGCAGTATGAGTTTAAATTTAGTGTGACTTCAAAATTAGTTTACTGAGCAAATTGTTTGATAGTCTACAATAGTATTCACTTACTGTGACTACAAGTGATCAGCTGAGTGTGGACACATTTGAAAAGATAATATTGGACAAACATTTTCCTTACCACTAATATTGCTCTGAGAACTTTTGATATCAGTTTGCATTTTGTGGTTGTAAGTACTGCTTCTATACATATCACAAAAATATTGCACATATTAATAGGTGATATATTTAACCAAGAATCACATGTAACCATAGATTGTCTAGTTTTGTGAATACAATTGTTTTTCTTCTTTTTTTATTCATGCATCTGTTCTCTGTGACCCAGGGTCTGTTGAATACTGCTTCACAGTATACCATGGTAGTAGCTGTCTTTTCATACAGCAGTTCTGATGTTGTCCTGTTGTCAAAATGGCTGCCAAAGCAGCCATGTTGGAATACCAAGTTTACACTATTACATTGCAATTTTGGCAGATAAATTATTTAATGCAGCAACTTTGAACTAAATTTGACCTTTGCCCATTGATTATAAGATCCTGTCACACTGTTCAGACTTGGACTAGAAAACATTTGCATTTCATTGATGCTGAAACATGCAAGTAAATAATACCATCAGAGTTTTTGACTATTTGGAAGTGTGAAATGGGTATGTTTCACATTAATGAAGCTAGCTGTCTAGAATATTAGGTGAATTGAGACTTGGAGCTCAGCTTCGTGTAAAATGTATATTTCCATCAAGATATTTGTTACTTGAAAACAGTGTTTGTAAAGCGATGAAGTCATCCTTGAATTCCATCCTAACATTCCTGTATAGCATAGTGGTGGTCCGATTAATTTAAATAATCGAAGATTGGATGTAGTGACTAAACGACCAAGCAATCGATCATGTTTTCTCATAATCGAACACAAACAATTCTGGAACACTTGTTTTCAGTAACAGTAATTTTCACTAGGTTGGTTTTGTCTGTTACATTTCATAAGCACTACAAGCTCCTTCCAAATCATGATTGAATTTATCTTAAAGACTCTAAGAAATCCGTGTTCCCAACATACTACTCATCCTTTAAAGATGTGAAATTTTGCCAAAAAAACCCCAAAGAACTACATGTTCTTTCCATATTTTTTTGTATTAACAAATTTCATAAATGTCGCTAACTAGTTATTTTCGATGATTGATCGGTTGTAATGAACCAATCATCAATTATGAGACTTTAACCAATTCCCAACACTAGTATAGCACACCTAAAGGATACCTCTGTAATCAAGTCTGTTTCTTTCATGGTTAGGCATGGAGTTCATTTGCTCTTGGATTTACTTCTGAAATATGACAAGGTATTGTGAGTCTTGCCACAGTGCAATATATTTATTCCATGTTGCTTGTCTTTGGTACCACAGTGTACCAGACATGATCACTCGATTGTCTGGTCCAGATTTCAATAGTTGCGGATTTGAGTTGCTGTTATATAGATGGGATACAGCTGACTGACATTACAAAAGACAAACATTTTGAGTTTAGAATCAGGGATTTGGACTTTGTATAACCACTGCTTAATGAACTGACTCTCTTCGACATAAACGTTCACACTAAATTGTGGGGTCCATTTTATGCAGTTTTCAAATTGTTATGCACAAATAGAAATTTAACTTAATCATTTGCATACATTTTGAAGACTGTGATTCGCTGCAATTTGTTTTAGATATCATATGTTTGAGACTGAAAAACCACTACTCTTCTCCATCATTACAATTGAGAACATGAGAAGAGAAGAAAGACCATATTTATATTTCATTGAAAAGTGAGAGGATGGTTCTAATAAGAAACGATCCTCATTAGTAGAAAGTCATTTGTTGTGCATTGATAGCAGCTCAGGCGTCTGGGATGCAGAAAATCTGAAAATGTTTTATTGGCCATGAAAATAATTGAACAGGGCTAAAATTAACACACTGTTCCCTTAGAAATGAAACCTTTGTTGTTTTTTGTGTGTTTTTTTGTAATCCTTACAATGCAGAGGAGTATTAGCTCTGCATTAAATAACCAAGTTCTACTGGATGCAAATATCAGAGCACTAAATGCTGTTGTTTAGATGTAGTGATTATGTTCTGGTGAGGAGGTCTCATAATGAGTTATTATCAATATCAATATGTCCATGTCTGGTGCACAATGAGTAGACTTCCTGCATAAAACAGTAGTTGTGTGGAAGGTACCCTGACTGGTGAAGTTGTTACATATATTGTACATATTACCTACAAGGTAAATCAAAATATTTTAACATGTTTGATTAACTTTATCACAGTTTTGACTTCAAGTCGGTACATTTAAATAAACAATTTAAATGTTAAATTGTGCCTTGAATGTTGTGTCATGAAATCAGATGAAATGACCACAAAAGAATGGTCAGCTGCTTGGACAACGTCTGCATCTGTGTCATCCAAACTGACATTGGGATGTTGTTTATGCCATCAACCGCTGGTCTAAGTGTCTATGGCTTACATGTTTAAGTCAGTCATCATACAGTTGGAATATTTCTGACTGGCACGGAAAAACCAAACAGACAGTTCATGGTTCCAGATTATTAGATAACGAGACTCAGTGTCTGGATACTAATTCACTTTGACCAGGGGTCAAGGTGCTATGATTCACCTTGTTTGACCAGGGGTCTAAGTGCTATGATTTACATTGGTAGACCAGGGGTCTAGGTGCTATGATTCACTTTGGTAGACCAGGTGTTGAGGTGCTATGATTTACATTGGTAGACCAGAGGTCTAGGTGCTATGATTCACTTTGGCAGACCAGGTGTTGAGGTGCTATGATCTACATTGGTAGACCAGGGGTGTAGGTGCTATGATTCACGTTGGTAGACCAGGGATCAAGTTGCTATGATTCACCTTGTTTGACCAGGGGTCTAAGTGCTATGATTTACATTGGTAGACCAGGGGTCTAGGTGCTATGATTCACTTTGGTAGACCAGGTGTTGAGGTGCTATGATCTACATTGGTAGACCAGGGGTGTAGGTGCTATGATTCACGTTGGTAGACCAGGTGTCGAGGTGCTATGATTCACCTTGTTTGACCAGGGGTCTAAGTGCTATGATTTACATTGGTAGACCAGGGGTCTAGGTGCTATGATTCACTTTGGTAGACCAGGTGTTGAGGTGCTATGATTTACATTGGTAGACCAGAGGTCTAGGTGCTATGATTCACTTTGGCAGACCAGGTGTTGAGGTGCTATGATCTACATTGGTAGACCAGGGGTGTAGGTGCTATGATTCACGTTGGTAGACCAGGTGTCGAGGTGCTATGATTTACATTGGTAAACGAGTGGTCTATGTGCTGATTCACTTTGGTTGACCAGGGGTAAATGTGCTATAATTTACGTTGGTAGACTAGGTGTCGAGGTGCTATGATTCACTTTGGTTGACCAGGGGTCTAGGTGATAAAAGTCACTCCGTAGGTGTGGGGCTGGTGATGTTGGATGGGTAGGGCCAGGAGTCCAAGGTGACTGAGGTTAGGGTGAAAGGTTAGAGGCGGTACATAAGACCACGTCATGCAAAGTAGGTTTATTCATACTATGTTTGTAATCGTTGAATATATGTTCCTTTAATTCATGGCTAATTTTTTCAAAATTGGACAACAGACACAACTGACATGGCGTTTATCATCAGACTGCTTTAGGAGAAGTAAAGGGAACAAAAAAAAAAGCGTTTGTCGACCTTACCAAAGCCTTTGTCACTGTGTAGTTCTTAAATGTGGTCATCCAACGACATGAAGATCAGCGCGGCAAGATCATGTATGGTATCAAACTTTCTTTCAAAGTCAAAGTGAAACAGGAGTGTGTCCTGACATAGACCTTCTTCACCATTTTTTTCAGGATGATGCTCAAGCAGGCCACTTAAGATCTTGACGACAGTGTCTAATTTTGAATATCGTTTCAATGACAGCCTGTTCAATGTTAGACGTCTTCATGCTCATTCAAAGACGCTGAGGAACTGATTCGCGACCTCCTCTTTTGCTGATGCTGCTACTCTTATAGAACAAGGTGACCCTGCAGAACATTACATCTGGCTTCGCCCAGCTGTTTGGACTGGCTTAAAAAAGTGGTCTTCCACCAACCTGCACCATCACATCAGATGCCAAACTCGAGATCGACAATACACTGGCAATAGCAAACAGCGCATGTTGCAGGTTGAACAAGCGAGTTTTGAAGAACAAACATCTGAGAAGTTTTACATTTACTGATGAAAGAATACATTGTTTCTTTCTTGGATGTTCAATACTTGAAAAGCGGTATTCCACCCGCATGACGACTGTCTGTTAATAATGAAGTCATGACCAGACAATCCAGTCATATAGCATCAAAAGTCTCCTTGAGACACAACCTGAAAATCACCTCGAGGAAAGTTAAGTCTACAAAACAAGTTGGTCGATGAAATGTGTGATTTTTATTATGCAAAGATTCATGCAAAATTAACATATGCCTGGAAAGATAACATTTTATAACTTCTATACAACATCAATGTACAAATGAAGTCAAGTATAAATTGATTTCGACATTTAGAATACTTTTTTTATAAATGATTTTATATTTAGGATTGCTGTACGTCATGAATGTACAGATGAAGTCAAGGATAAATTGACTTCGACATTTAGAAGACCTTACAAATTATGCCTGCTGTAGAATATGTGTTTGACCTGATATTATACTTGTTCACAGCATAACGTTTTCACAAAAGAAAAAAAATAACCTGTTGTGCAGAATTTCACGCCAATCGATGTCAGAAGCTCTCTAATTACCAACTGTTTGGCAGTGTCTTTGAGAGTGACTCCTTAAGTTGGTTCATCAGTCGCCTCTATCTTCACTCTGCGATTCTGTCCTTTGGAACGCGTGTGAATTATGGTGCCGTTACTGTCATCATCCTCCAGCAGATCTATCACTGAAGCAGCTATGTCTTTTGGACTGAAAAATATGAGGCATCAATATTACCCAAAATCGTTGATATCAGTTTACACAAATCAATTTATCAATCTTCAAACGGCGACCAAGAACTCTTCCTGCTTCAAATTAAGGATGACATAGACGTCCGCTTGGTCTCACATCAGTTTATCTGAAACACAAGCTATGAGCCAATGTGCTACATCTCGTTTGTCTGACATGGCTGGCTGTTTCCCTAGACCTCCTCCACACAGAACAAGTCTGGGATGAGTTGAACCGAGTAAGACCAGAACCAGCCGGTACCGCTATCTAATTTTGATATCTAAACTGGACCATCCTTTGGTTGACATTTGGAACGCCAGTCTCCAGGCTGTTTTAAATCATATGGTGTCTTCAGTGCCCCGCCTCGGCTTCTCAAAATTAACTGAAATGGTCGTGCCACCAGATGTTGACATTGTTAATTTAACTAACTTGCCCCGCCCCTCTATCCTGTTTTACCATCTATGGTCAAACATTAACGTCATTTACTGTTACATTTACACCACAACAGTCCCTCTTCCCCCTCGCTAGTATACTAGGCGTAACCACATGAAATATGTATATATTACATCCATATGATGTAAGGTTATGCGAAATGGGGTTTAACGTCGCGCTTACGACTATTTTGTTTATATGACGACGTGCATGCGTGTGTATGTGTGGCTGCTTGTATTAGCCCAAACCTAAGCTGGTTTTATAGTGCTAGCTCACCGAGATACCATGCCGCTGTTAAGTATGATTACCCCATTCAGACATATTATACTGACTCCGAGCCGACCAGACCTTGTTGTACTCATTAATGCCGAGTGCCAGGCAGGGGCCAATAAGTACCATACTTTAACATCTTTTGGTATGACACGGCCGGGGATCTAACCACTACACCACAGAGGCGGGCTACAATATGATGTACAAAGAATTAGAATAATCTCTGCAAAATGGGAAGGATTTCAGAAAAAATATACCTTACAATGTTGGTCCCATATTAAATGTCTTTGACATGTATTATCCAATACAAATATATGGAATAACTTTTGCGTCTACTGACACTTGACACTGATGTCAAAACTGTTACAGTAATGCCTTACGATGGCATTTAATCGAAACCGATGGGCATACGGAAACAATGCGACGATAGTATTCTGACATAGTTCACTGAAAGCAACTTTTTGCAGGAACTAGCATTAAATTGTCTGCCCTTGAAACACGAGTCGTGAACCTTTGTAGGTTCGGGTTCTTGCAGATGACAATGGTGTGTCCAGAGAGCTTCTCAATGGATGTTTGGTCATCTCTGTAGAGTAAACAAGAAACAAAAACCCGAACCAAACAAACATAAAACGACGGAATCACAATTAAATAACAAGTCTGCACGTTCTACAGCGACCACTTTTGCGTGTCACGTTTCTAACACTTCTGGCATTTAGAAACTCATTGCAAGCTGAATCTAATTTAAACATACAAGTACATGTTCCTTCAACATTCCAGCAGCTTCTGACAAGCATGTTTATTTCAAGTACTGAGGATACTTACTCTTCGCTGCCATGTTTTTCCCAAAACTTCTTCACGTCCTCAACATACAACGCTTGTGTCATTGGATCAGGGAATATAAACGATGCGAATGCTGTGGGGCACACCAAGCAGAATCTCAAGTCCATTTCTTTCAGATAGGGATTTGCCTGGAAAATTTAACGTTCTCACAATGCACCAATTCGGTAAGTGGTTCTGTTCTCAGTTTCTTGTCAAAGGTGCCGTTAACGATGGCATCCTTTAAACTGTAAGTGTGTTTTTTGTGTTGCTTGCTTGGACATCACCACATGACGGTACATTATCCAATAAACACATCCTCAGTGATTCATTAAGATAATGTTTAGCTCACCAATCATGTTTATGTTCCCCTGAGTCTGCAAATATACTAAGCAGCAAAAGAAACGTCAGTTTGGAATTTATTTCAAACTAAAAAAGGATAACTGTAAACTCATTTAATGTTTTGATTGTATATTTTTGTCAACATCTCCTACTTTACCTGAAAGTCATTCCTTCCCAAACTAAGAATGGAACCCAGGAAATGGTCTCAAAAACGCAACCTGATCTCGGAGATGGTACGGTGTTCTCCATGTTTTCATACAACTTATGCTGCACGTGCTGTTCACAGTAAAATGTTAGTACAAACCTGGTTGAAACATACTAAATGATAAATAATAATTCTCGTTCACTCATTCTCAAGGGTAGAAATAGGAAAGTGAAAAGCTGATGTTTAGGTGAATTAAACTGTGTATAGACTTACTGTTTTAGTTAAATTACATTTTTGGTTATACCTATATTGATTATATAGATAATATTAAAACATGATTTTACTATAACTGCTTAAGCACTATATACAAGTACATAATGGTAAAATACAAAATGCATAACTGACCTGTAATAATGTCTGTTCAGTCCCAGTCTACAGTGGTTGTGTGCTGTGCTGGTGAAGTGCTCAACATTAGTATTTTAAACAAGGCCAATCAAGCGTAAGCTATCTTAATCAAAGGAGTGACCCAAGCTATGCACTCTAACCCCACAGCTACCCAAAGGCAGTTAAATAATATTAAAGGTGAATTAAAGACAAGTCAACGAGGAGCTAAATAGAAAGGAAGTTTATTTTATTCTGTACTTCACAGTACAAATTAGTACATTATTTCATTACAACAGTGAATATATACAAATATGTAAAATACAGATATATACATATGCAACACTGCCACACATTCACATTTGAACGTCAGCAGGATGACGCGACTCACGACAGCTCTTAGGAATCAGGCGCTAGGAAGACTTGAAGCTGGCCTCACTGCACAAGCCAATCACTTCCAGGTCAACGTTCGGACCATCTACAGGCTGCAGCAACGTTTCCGGGCTACCAACACCATAAATGATCGCCCCCGTACTGGCAGACCAAGGGTGACCACAAGACGACAAGACCGCCATGTTGTGCGACAGCATGTACAGAATCCCTTCATGCAGGCATCCGAAACAGCATGCCAGACAGTGGGAACAAACGGAAGACCAATCAGTACTGATACAGTACGCCGACGTCTTAACAGCGGGAACCTCCATTGCCGTAGACCTTACCGTGGACCTATCCTCACCCCTCGTCATCGGCGTGAACGTCTACAGTTTGCCCTACAACACCAAACCTGGCTTAGGATACAGGCAATGGAGAACTGTTCTGTTCACAGATGAGAGTCGGTACTGCGTATCAACTGCAGATGGCAGAACAAGAATGTGGCGACGACGTGGCCAGCGTTACTCAAACCAATGTGTTATGGTAAGACACTCATGGGGAGGTGCAAGCGTCATGGTATGGGGTGGGATAGGCCTGAACCAGAGAGTGGGTCCTGTGGTGTTCCAGAACCTTGGTCCAGGGGGAGGAGGCGGCATCACAGCGGTGCGCTACATCGACCAAGCTCTCAGACCCCACGTCATACTACATTTCGCACGTCACCGGAACAACATTTTCTAGCATGATAACGCCCGGGACCCATACTACCAGAGCTACACACGGGACTTCCCTACAGCAAAACGGTGTCAACATAATGCAGTGGTTAGCCCTTAGTCCTGATTTAAACCCAATTGAACATCTTTGGGATGAAATTCAGAGAGACCTTGATTAATGTCATACCAAAGCCGAATTCAGCCGATTTATTGTACCAGGCCTTTCTCAGAGTGTGGTTCCAGGTGCCAATGGCCTTCATCGATCGATTGGTGCACTCAATGTATAGACCTTTAATGCTGCAGTTATTGCCGCTCGTGGTATGGTTACACTAGATACTGAAGTCATGACGAGTCTGAATGGACTGCAAACGTCCACGTAATGTCTTAGAATTGTGCTGAGTTATTCATTGATGTGTCAAGATATTGTACATAACAAAATGTTTTTGATCCGCTTATTATGTCCATTTCTGTAATGTTTTGATTACAGTGCCTATCTAATTTTGAATTCGTACTGACGTTTGTTTTGCTGCTGGAGTATAGTTATGCAGAGACCTCTAACTGATTTCTGTTCTTCTGATTTGCTGATGGTGTGTGTGAATTGTAACCTGAAATATGTCACTGATTTCGTTTCGTTTCCAGCTTTATTTTGTATTTATTTATGATGAAATGAGCAGAATGTAAAGTTAGTATTGTTCATTTTATTTTAGGATGGAAAAAATGTAAACACCTTATGTAAAATCTGCTATTTGATATTTTGAAAGCAGTTCTTGATAATGTTTCATGCCTATACTCTACTGCCAGGGATCTTGTGAATCAACTACCCCGGACTTTGTGGCTGTATATGCTGGGACGGTGTGGAAGAAGACTCTGCTGCTAGAAAAAAACGTCAGAATGCTTTTTCTAAACTCAACACCTAGATTATCGTTATAATTTACCAAAGTCATCAATACTTGGAAGGTCACACAACTCAGTTACATCTATTTCCACTCCAATATTCATTCTTCAATTCCTCATAGTCTTTGTGATGTTATTATCATTTACACCACCGCCACGTATATATATACATTCATAACGAACACGTTCATAACGAACACATGAATTGACGAATATAACGAACAAATTTTTGAGAGGTAATTTGTGTCATGGCCACTTGGTGTATATTTCACTCGTTCTATATTCTTCATACACCTGGACTTACGTGAAAGCCACTTCACCTTATTTTCACATATACAATGTACTTGAGAGAAAGAACACCGAGTTTGCTTTGTATATAATATAATATTAGTTTAATATGATTTAATATAAGTTTGTGTTTTCTGGCCCCATCTCAGTTTGTTAAACGCAATCTGAACCAGAAACAATAAGGGTAAAGTGATTTGATTCAGTGTAAGTCATGGGAAATATACACTCTCTCAAGAAAGAAACGCAACCCCTGTTTTTTTGGTAATGTTTATATCAATTTTAACTGGTTATTACATTTGTATTTTTAAAGATAATGCCATGAAATTTGACATATGGTGAACCTTAGGTCAGCACGGTATAAGGTAACAGTTAATGCAGGTCAGTATCGAACTCTCAATTTACGCTAGGGGGCGTTGTCTTCAGTATCTCGTTGTAGAGCCACGAGCTCTAATCACCAGCAGTGCACCTCCTCGAACAGAACGAATCAGACGGCGGATGTTTTCCTGGGGATTGCTCTCCACTCTTCCTGGAGTGTTGCGGCCAGTTCAACCAACGTGTGCGGTTGTGGTGTACGTGCACGAACACGACGATCCAGCTGGTCCCACAGATGTTCGATAGGATTGATGTCTGGCGATCTGAGGGCCACGGCATCACGCGTTGACGCTTTGAATTCTGTAGGAATGCCACTGTTGCACGAGCTGTATAAGGGCGGGCATTGTCATGCCGAAACAACTCCCCGTTGGTCGATTATCGGCAGAAGATGTGGCTGTAAGACGTCATCAATGTACCGTTGTGCCGTCAAATTGCCACTGAATGATGATCAAGTCTGACCGTTGGTTGTAAGACATGGCTCCCCATACCATGATGCTTCCTCCTCCAAATCTGTCGACCTGTCGAACGCAGTTCGGTGCAAAAAACGTTCATTTGTTCGTCTATAGACACGTTGTTCACCGTCACGTCGTTGAAGAGGAAAACGAGACTCGTTCACTCATTCTCAAGGGTAGAAATAGAAAGTGAAAAAAGTTGATGTTTAGGGGTGAATTAAACTGTGTATAGACTTAACATTCACATTACAAAGTCAGCAGGATGCCGCGACTCACGACAGCTCAGAGGAACCAGGCGCTAGAAAGACTTGAAGCTGGCCACACTGCACAAGCCGTTGCCAATCACTTCCAGGTCAACGTTCGGACCATCTACAGGCTGCAGCAACGTTTCCGGGCTACCAACACCATAAATGATCGCCCCCGTACTGACAAACCAAGGGTGACCACAAGACGACAAGACCGCCATGTTGTGCAAGCATGTACAGAATCCCTTCATGCAGGCATCCGAAACAGCACGCCAGACAGTGGGAACACACGGACGACCAATCAGTACTGATACAATACGCCGACGTCTTAACAGCGGGAACCTTCATTGCCGTAGACCTTACCGTGGACCTATCCTCACCCCTCGTCATCGGCGTGAACGTCTACTGTTTGCCCTACAACACCAAACCTGGCGATACAGGCAATGGGGAACTGTTCTGTTCACAGATGAGAGTCGGTACTGCGTATCAACTGCAGATGGCAGAACAAGAATGTGGCGACGACGTAGCCAGCGTTACTCAAACCAATGTGTTATGGTAAGACACTCATGGGGAGGTGCAAGCATCATGGCATGGGGTGGACTAGGCCTGAACAAGAGAGTGGGTCCTGTGGTGTTCCAGAACCTTGGTCCAGGCAGAGGAGGCGGCATCACAGCGGTGCGCTACATCGACCAAGTTCTCAGACCCACGTCATACCACATTTCGCATGTCACCGGAACAACATTTTCCAGCATGATAACGCCCGGGCCCATACTGCCAGAGCTACACGGGACTTCCTACAGCAGAACGGTGTCAACATTATGCAGTGGTCAGCCCTTAGTCCTGATTTAACCCAATTGAACATCTTTGGGATGAAATTCAGAGGAGACTGAATAATGTCATACCAAGGCTGAACACAGCCGATTTATTGCGCCAGGCCTTTCTCAGAGTGTGGTTCCAGGTGCCAATGGCCTTCATCAATCGATTGGTGCACACCATGTATAGACGCTGTGCTGCAGTTATTGCCGCTCGTGGTGGTTACACTAGATACTGAAGTCAAGAGTCAAAATGGACTGCAAACGTCCACGTAGTGTCTTAGAATTGTGCTGAGTTATTCATTAATGTGTCAAGATATTGTAGATAACAAAATGTTCTCGATCCGCTTATGATCATTTCTGTAATGATTTGATTACAGTGCCTATCTAATTTTGAATTCGTACTGACGTTTGTTTTGGTGCTGAGTATAGTTATGCGAGACCACTAAGTGATTTCTGTTCTTCTGATTTGCTGATAATTGTGTGTGAATTGCACTGAAATATGTCACTGATTTCGTTTCGTTTCCAGCTTATTTTGTATTTATGATGAAATGAGCAGAATGTAAAGTTAGCATTGTTCATTTATTTTAGGATGGACAAAATGTAAACACTTTATGTAAAATCAGCTATTTGATATTTTGAAAGCAGTTCTTGATAATGTTTAACGCATATACTCACTGCCCAGGATCTTGTGAATCCAACTACCCCGGACTTTGTGGCTGTATATGCTGGGATAGTGTGGAAAGACTCTATTGCTAGAAAAAAACGTCAGAATGCGTTTTGTAAACTCAGCACCTAGATTATCGTTATAATTTACCAAAGTCATCAATACTTGGAAGGTCACATAACCAATATTCATTCTTCAATTCCTGATAGTCTTTGTGATGTTATTATCATTTACACCACCGCCACGTATATATACATTCATAACGAACACGTTCATAACGAACACATGAATTGACGAATATAACGAACTAATTTTTGAGAGGTAATTTGTGTCACGGCGACTTGGTATATATTTCACTCGTTCTATATTCTTCATACACCTGGACTTACCTGAAACGTTTCACCTGTATTTTCACATATACTGAGAGAAAGTACACCGAGTTTGCTTTTTATATAATAAACGTTTAATATAATTTAGAGAAACAATAAGGGTAAAGTGATTTTATTCAGTGAAGTCATGGGAAATATATTTTCAACCACATGATGGTTGCCCTGATGGACGTGAAAATTTGTGAAGATAATACCTACATACTGAACAGGTATTATGCGAATATTGTTTTGAATTTTTTTTTAAAATATATTTATTTTCGGAAATAATTCTTTTGAAATGTATTTTTGAACTCCTATTAAAGTACAGTTTAGGATAATACAACAAATTGGCCACCCTTCGATAAAGGTCCAACATATCATCGTGACCTCATAAACAGGTTTAAAAGATGACCACAACTTCATTAAAACACTTCAATTTCTTCTTTAGCTCAAAAGGCTGGTTCAAAGCATATGGTAAACAGAACAAAAGCGGTGTTTATATACACGTATTATGTTAGTGGTTCTTTATCATCTTACTGGTACTCATTTATCTCGATAACGGAGGCAACACCACCTACCTGCAACGGAGGACACGTTTACGACCACTCCACCTTTCCCACCTTCATCCTTCCTCATGTGCTTGATGGCGAGGTTCGAACCTCTGATTGTGCCACCCTGCGAAGACAGACAGTTTCATGTGTTTCAATAACATGTACGAAAGCTTTTCTACAGTTGTCTTTACATCTACATTTCCTTCACAGTAAATTACTTTCATACATTTCATGAAGAGCTAAGTTTGAATAATGGTCTTCAGTAACCCATGCTTGTGTCGAAGAAGAGGATCGGATGGTCAGGTTGACTTGTTGATTTGGTTGACACATGTCATCGTATCATTGGCAAATGTCAGAAAAAGCACTCTGGGTAATGCGAAAGGCTGTAGTCTTGGGGAGCCTTCATATTCCCCGGGAAAAAGTTCTTGGAGGGTTCGAGTAGGCAGCACTTCCTGGTAGAAGTCCCATTCCCTGTATGGGGTGCGTGTAGTTGGGGGCAAGGGCCCAAAGCTGATGATGAGCCTTACCAGCTTGACTGTGCCAGAATCACCCGAACCCTCCCTGGTGCATTTTCATCTTAATCTGTTCAAAATATATGATGAAACCGGTACTGGAAACTGTTCCTGTGTGTCCAAACACTATTACTTTTTTATTCTCTCTTGGCGATGTTCCTCCAGGGTTCTGCAAACGTCGCACAATACTCCTTTCAATAAAGAAGACTTGACTAAACCAAAAACTTCTGCCCGATCACATGTTGGAAAACTCAATATATCCACAGAGTGTTTGACTAATCTCGTGTCATTACGGCTCTTCCAATGGAATGATTTATAGAAAGCAGTGAAAGCAATACATTTACAGAGACTGTGCATCGCCTTGTCAATGGATGACCTTCCTTGGCCGTTCCTTGGCACAAAGGGCATAGACTCCCCATTGTTTTCGGTGCCCTTCATTTGGTACCTGCTGGGCCTCCTATTACAAAGGACTAAGGTGGTCGTAAGTCACTAAGGTTAAGGTTAACCTCAGTAAAGGTTGCTTCGTGAAAGGAGACCCTGATCTCTTGGCGCAGATCAGGAGAGTGGCTTCTCAGCCCTGCTGACACTCTGGGTAATGCAGAAGGCTGCAGTGATGGGGAGACTTCATATTCTCTGGAAAGTTCTTGGTGGGTTTGACTGGGCAGCACTTCCTGAGAGAAGTCCCATTCGCTGTCTGGGGTGCGTGTAGAGGTGGCAAGGTCTCTGAGCTGATGATGAGTCTTACCAGCCTGACTGCGCCAGGATCACCTGAACAAATACAGTTACAAGTCCTTGACCATCATCTACAGGTCATATTGAATCATGCTCTCTTACCAGGTTAACCATCAGCATCTTGTCAATGTCTATCTTCTCTGTGACGATAGCTGCATTATTGATCATGATATCCACCTGTCCATGGCGTGCCACGACACCGTCGAAGGCCTCTGAGAAACCAAGAAGGACATATATTGAGAAGGGTTCATTACTGTTTTTTTTAAGACAGTAAAACTGATTGAACACTACTGTTGCTACACACGGAACAAAACCTCTTCGAGACTCTGTCATGTCAAAGTAGAAGCATCATCTATAATATTTATTATTCCCTTTTGGGGATAATGTTAGAGACAGATATTATGGTCACGAGTCAGAAGCAAATACCAAGCATCAGTACAAATTCTTACAATCGTGTTTAGGACTTGCTAGTTCTGAAACAACCATCCTTCGCATGAACGTTATTTGATAATTCATGCACACTATGGTTTAGCGGATAAAACGATAGAAATGTTTCACCATGCGTTATTTCTTACACTTTATTTCATTGCCAAAGCAAATAATGTGAAGAAGTAACATCATTTCGCTCCATACCTTTAAAACCCTTTTCGTCAGTTACATCGCACAGCGAGAAGGACACTTTGTCTCCTCCAAACTGACCCTGAAGTGAAGACTCTATCTCAGCACCTCTGTCAGCATGGATGTCAAAGATACACACCTGTGTTAAACGAATGATACATCGAGAATATACCATGATGGTCTGCATAAGTCCTTCTGCCTGGAGAGAGGGGGATTGATGATGAGAAAACGTCAGCAAGTGGTACTAATGGTGATTTGTCTGGCACTTGTCTTTAAACGGACAAGAAAAAACATGTAGCTCTTTGGGGCTTTTTTTCAAATTTCACATCTTTAAAGGATGATTAGTATGTTAGGAACATAAATTTCCTGGAGTCTTTAAGATAAATTCAGTCATGACTTGGAACGAGCTGGTGGTGCTTATGAATGTACCAGACAAAACCAACCTTGTGGAAACTATTGTTAATGCAAACAAGTGTTCCAAAATTGTTTATGTTCGATTATGAGAAAACGTGATCGATTGCTTGGTCGTTTAGTCATTGTGACCAATCTTCGATTATTTCAATTAATCGGATAACCACTAGTATACACACAAGGGGCTCATAACCCCATACTGTCCCACACCATCCCTCCCAAACAGCTTGACTCATCACTGTACCAAATACAAGAACTGTGAAATATTGGGACAGATGCTTTAGCAAGTTAGCAGCAATGCTCTGGAACAATCTACCAGCCATAATCAGAGTCTCTGATTCATATAACTGTTTCAAGAAAGGCGTCAGAACCCATCAGTATAAAATGTTTATACCCCTCGGCAATAGACTCTCACCCTTGTACACTGCTAAGCGCCTTAGAGTGGCATTATGTTAGGACATATAAGGCGCTGTATAAATTTCGCATATTATTTATTGAACCCATGTGGAAAATTGAAACCGGGTCTTTGGCGTGATGAGCGAATGCTTTAACCACTTGGCTACCCAACCTCCCCTGAGTATACCTTCAAACACATAATTCTGTTTTACAGAATTTTGATATCTATAAATAACTGAAGATAACCAATTTAGGGCTACTGATATCTTACAATGTCATTGAGATATCAAGAACATTTTTCGAGATATCTCTAAATGTGTTTAAGATATCACTAAAACAATTAAATTCACAGTGTTCCCACGTGTATTAGAGTTAACTCAAGATATCTTGAATTCAAATGAACATATCTTGAAATAATGTATGCACATCCACAAACGCTCTAGAGATATCTTTAACTCTGAGATATTTAAGTTCAATTAGATATATCTTCAATTCTAGCCGTAACTGATGTCTAAAATCAAATTAAAGATATCAGTAATAATTGTGAAGATGTCTTTAAATCAATTATCGGTTTTAAAGATACCTTTAATTCATTTCAAGTAATCTCTAATTCAATTCAGGATATCCTTAATACATTTCAAGGTATCTTCAATTCAATTCAAGATGTCTTTGAAACAATTTAAGATATCAGTAATTTCTCAATATATAATCTCTATTGGAGATATCGTTAATTCATTTCAAGATATCTTCAATTCAAATCAGGGTATCTCTATTTTCATTCAAGATAACTTTAAAACAATTAAACCACCGTCCCATATCACTAACTAGCTGTGTTTGTAAAACCATGGAGCGCATGGTCAATAATCGATTAATCTGGTACTTAGAGGCCAATAACCTCCTTAGTGACCTCAAATGTGGTTTCCGAAAGAACCGAAGTACCATTGACCATCTGGTGCGTCCGGAATCATTTATAAAAAATTCCATTGTCAACAAACAACATATTGTTTCTATCTTTTTCGACTTGGAAAGAGCATATGATACAACGTGGAAACATGGTATCTTAAAAGATTTACATGAATTTGGATTGAGGGGCAGATTACCTCAGTTCATATCTCGGTTTTAAACAACCGACAATTTCAAGTACGGGTGGGTTCCGCATTGTCTGATTATTTCCACCAAGACCAGGGCGTCCCTCAAGGCAGCATCATGCCTGGGACACTTTCTAGCATAAAAATTAACAGCCTTACTAACGTTTTGAACAGCTGTGTTGATGGGTCCCTTTTCGTGGACGATTTCAATATTTCATGTCGTGGTAGGAACACGAATTTCACTGCAGTATACAACTCTGCCTTAACAAATCCAACAATGTGCCAAAAAAGCTTCCAATTTTCAAAATCCAAACAAATTGTATTCACTTTTGTCATAAATACAAACCTCACAAGGATCCATGGCGGTTTCCTAAACTGCCAGATGGTTCCCTATTAACTTAGAAGAGGCCAA